TGTTTCCAAATAAAGACAAAGGCTTTTTTTACTTAAGGTTTAATTGTAAATAAGAAAATACGCCATATGTTTTAACTGGGAAACCCCATATTTGAGTAACATAAAAAAAATTGGAATTCCATGAGGCATTTTAAAAATCGAGCAAATATCTACTTTAAACTTAAGGGGGTTACATCCTTGACCCGAATGCTTATAAGCATTACCACAAGTCAAGCACTCGTCTTTTAGGACTTAAATAACTGTGTTTGTGTTACATTTTTTAAAATTTTATATTATGTCTATTGATATGTATACAATCTTGTACGATGAATATAGTCTATGAAATAAAATTGATTTTTCTAAAAAGTTTTTAAGTACCTAAATGGATTTTCCATTTTATGTTCAACTATGTACGAACCAACATAGTTAGTAGTTGTTTTAATAACAAACATTGGCTTGACGCATTAAAATGAGGTCTGCAATTTTAGCCACGTTCTTTTAAATACTTAGTAACATAAACATTACACGTAAATTATTTACGAATCATAGAAAGAACCGTCGCCTCCGGATTTTCCTTATTTATATTAAAATTATGTGAACTTATTATACTATTATGCGGTTCTGAATTTAGCAAATAGTTCAATATTATTGCATCTAGTGGACATGGTAGTGAAGGAAATAGAAAAAAACAATAGAAATCTAGAACATGATTAACAGTATGTCCCTTTGTATACGTCTATGTATATTAGGTGCATCTTTCTCAACTCAAAGGTAACTAGGCAATACAACAAAATATCCTAGAATACAAAACTTTTTCTCGTTGTCCTACCCTTATCTTATCACTTGATATCGGTGCAGTGTGTTTTATACATCCATTCATCCCTATCAGGAGGCCCTGCGTTGTTCTCTTCCTTAATACACATAATATTATTATTCTCACAATCCATCCACTTTTTGGAAAAATCAATAGTAATTTCTATTGCTTAGATGTGAATTCTACCTTCAAATGTAACACAAAAATAATTTGTTTTCCGTTCAACTAACGCGTGCTAGGGTGACGGAAAAAAATACTTTAGGCTTCAAAGCGCACTTGGGAATATGCAAATCCTCAAAGAAACTTTAAAGTAACCGGTATCTTGCAGATGTCGACCCTCCGAAAATATTCAAACGCCCCCAACGAAGAAATTTTATTAGCAGTAAAGCTCCTTGCGAAAGAGTTCGTCCAGGGTAGTATTGCCACCTTACCTATTTCTGCCGCCAACCAGTAATGTTAGCATTACTGCGTTCTGATTGTAAAGGGTAAGGATGTTGGTGAAATTACAGGCACATCGGACTTGTCAACTTATGTCTCAGGGTTACGGGCGCAATGGTAGTGCCCCTCAGATCTTTGCAATTTAAAGTTCTGAGTGGCACTGTAAATTTTATGGACTGACGTGTATCTTACCATCAGGCGTACGACTTGTTCGTCTCGACACCTGATGTTATAAAAATAACAGTGGCCAGCTATCAGTAGCATTGTAGTAAAATATGAATGAATGAACTCAAATGAAGAAGGTAAACCAATGCAGAAGGTACGCAGCAATTATTATACTTCTAAGTTACAGATAATTACATAGCTTAGGTAAGCCATAGATAATATGGACCCTCCGCAACAGCTATAATACCTATAGATTTAAGTAGAAGTGAAATAACCACGCCTACTATTCAAACGATTTCATGCCTAAACCTCTGCACACTTTTAATATTATTCTACGACAAATATTTGGAACATGTTCAAGACAAGAGGGAAACCCCAACTCGTCAATTGTACATATTTGAGTAATGCTTTTGGGAATACCGGCTAATTTATTATGAAATAAAATGATAACTATTCCGCGGTACGGCAACGCATGATTAATTTCAAGAAAAGGTATGGCCTCATTTTGTAATTTACTTCTATGCAATTAATGATTTTTTAGGTCACTATTTATTATTATAATGACTATTTTAAATTTTAAGAGAATCGTCTAGTCCACATTAGAATTAGACAATCACTGTGGTTTACACAAATCAATTACTGATAACGTTTTAACTATGGTTAATTCAATTGTTATTAAATTGACCATCATGTGGACATGACCGTGGTTACCTATGTCATTTCCTAGTCTTTCTTTTTTTGTATTTTTGTTATTATTGATACAAACAACAAATTAGTACAGTATTTTCACAAAAAATATATAAATCATGGTAATAAAACATCGTGATATTCAATAAAATACATTTAGTATTTTCTTATCACTTTTTACCACTTTTCAATTAAATTAACATTTCACGTGTATTTTACTCAAGAAGATTCGTTATTTCCACAACTTAAGTATGTTTGATTACCCTTATGTAAATATCATGTTTGTTAAAATATATTTAAAAAAAAACGTGTTTTACCAACTTATGCATATTTTTGACTTCTGTTTTTAAAATGATTTTCTTATGATATCAATTGACGGGACTAACAAGTCGTGCGCCTGGTGGTAAGCAACACGCCATTCAGAGCTTTAAATCGCAAGGATCTGAACCACCACCCTCTTACCTTCAAAACCGGAACGGAGTAATGCTCACATTACTGCTTGGCGGCAGAAATAGGTAAGATGGCAATACTTCCCTGGACGAACTATTTCATAATACTATAGGTACTAAGAAAATATTTATATAATAATAATAATAATAACGCACACACTCAACATAGTAATATTATATATACATATAATATTCACCACAGAGTAATAGTTCCTTGCCCTTTATATATATATGAAAGGATCTATTTCTTGGGTAAAATATTGTTGGGTAACTAAATTAAGTAACTAAATAAAAAAAAATCTACGTTTAACGACGACTAGTACCTATCTATCGACTTTCAAGATATCGTATTGTAGAATTAAAAATCGCAGAATAATATTATTTGAAATGGAAAAAATCAATTCAATTGAAATCAATTGCAATTAAATCAATTGCGACGCGTCGCCCGGTTTGTGCCCCGGTTAGGGGCCCGGTTGGGGACCCGGCTGGGGGGCCCGGTTTGTGCCCCGGTTGGGGGCCGCGTTGGGGGCCCGGTTGGGGGCCCAGGTTTGGGGGCCCTCAAACCGGGGCACCCAAACCGGGGCCCCCAAACCGGGACCCCCAACCGGGCCCCCCAACCGGGGGCCCTAAGCGGGCCCCCCAACCGGGCCCTCCAACCGGGGCCCGCAACAGGGCCTCCAACCGAGTTACCCAACCGGGGCCTCCAACCGGGGCCTTCAACCGGGGCCCCCAACCGGGCCCCCCAACCTGGGCCCCAACCGGGGCCCCAAAAGGGGCCCCAACCGGGCCCCCCAACCGGCCCCCTAACCGGGCCCCCAACCGGGGATCCCAACCGGGGCCCCCAACCGGGACTAACTCACCCCCATATGCCCTATAAATTTTACTATAAACTATAAATTGTTAATTGTTAATCAAAAACATTGAAAAGATTGAAAATTGATCAATCGTTAATTGCTGTTTCGCAATTGACAATTAATCAATTGTCAATCTTTAATTGCCAGAACAATTAAATTTTGCCCAACACTGCTTCGCATGCGTTACCAGTGTGAAATTGATACATGTCCACGGTTTGTGCATTATTTATGGCGTGATATAAACTGCAATTTTTCATAATCACATTGACCTCTACAAAATAAAAAGCTAACTCGCGATTTCTTGACGTGGTAGTGTAAGTTAGATAAATTGTAATTATTGGTCCAACAAATAATTTTAACAATTAGCCTCTCGTCTTTATAGCAAAGTAATGATGCCGTGTGACGAAACTTCTCTGAAACCGTACAGTATGAGATCGACTCTCTGCCGGTAGCGAGCATTCATGTCGCGATACTTAATGAAATATATCTGCTTACAATTTTCCAAGTTTTATTAACAGCATTTCAAAAGAGTTTAGCCTAAAAGTATTACAGCCGACGATTTACAAAAATTTATTTATTATTGACATAAATGATTATCTTTATGATAATGTGAAACATTTTATCAAGTTCCAATTTAAATAATACATAAACGTTAAGGCACGCTTATCATGGTAGGAAATTTTGTTTAGATTACACTAACATGATAAGATGTTTATTTAACTGCCTGTGTGGCCCAACGGCTACCATGCCGGACTGCCACGCAGAGGTCCCAGGTTCGTTTCCGGGGCCGGTAGAAATATTTGTATGGCCTACACTTATTTCTCTCGTGAGTTTGGGTGTAATTTGTGGTTGTCTATGTGTGTGTCCACGGCATCCGCGACACAGGGTTTCTAGTGCGGGGTTATGTTGAGTGTGTGCGTTATTATTATTATTATTAATAATAATATTATAATAGATACTTCCTGGAAATTTGCCAAACACGTTAATTCCTATAATAATTTATTATGGACTCCACATTCTTACAAAGGTATTTTTAATACTTATTTATGTACACGATATAAATTACTTTATAATACTTTGTAAAGAGAAAATATAGATTATTATCCATTTATTATCATCATTATTATACTTTTAAAAATCAAAGCAATGGATTGGCCAAAAAGTTACAGCTTTTGGCACTAACTTTTAACAAAAAAAACTATTTCTTTTAAAATGCTGTATTGTCTATGGTCATGTTAAAAATAATAATTAGTTTATCACGCATTTTAAGTGGGAAACATGTGAAACAATGATCTTATACATATACAAAAAGGCAGATGTGTTACTAGCGTTCGCGAATATCAGTCAAATGACCGACCTTACAATCAATCCAATCCAATGTAACAAAAAGAGAGGGGGAGGATTTTTAAATTTTTCTTTGTGCAAATAATTTGTAGCCAACTCAATATTTTGTTTAATATAAAATTTGTGTGCATACTTTTAATATTACAAGTATTACTTTAAAAAGTGTTTGTATTCGTGAATACAATATCCCATAAAATTTAACCACATTATTTTTCAATGAGCTTTAGTTTCAATGTTTCATCAATTCATAAAAACATATTATAGTCTTACCTTGCTTTTAGCGGCGTGTTTGTTTTTCCGTATCTCTTTGAAGCGCTTTCGAAACTGCGAAATAAAGACACTTTATTACAACGATATATCTATGTTTGCTTTATTATTTAATAAATATAAATGTAATTTTTTTTTTTTTTTAATTAATTAGAATAGCTAGTTCAGTGAAAAAACTATTCAATAATAATAAGAATAGTTAGCCTACCTATATAGTCCCACTGTTGGGCACAGACTTCCTCTCACAATGAGAGAGCTCGAGCTATATAGATCCCACGCGGGCGCAATACGGATTGGGAACTTCTCACACATCATTCAATTGCTTTACAGATGTGTGCAGGTTTCCTCATGATGTCTTCCTTCACCGAAAAGCTCATCGCTTTCAATTAAATTTTGCACATAAATTCCGAAATACCCAAAAGTGCAAGGCCGAATTCGATGCAGTGCCACTCAGAGCTTTAATCGCAAAGACCTGTGGGACACAGCGACTGCGCCCATCACTATGAGACATAAAGTTGACAAGTCCCACGTGCATGTAGTTTCACCAGCACCTATAATACCCTTCCAGACCGAATCGCAGCAATGCTCACATTACTGCTTGGCGGCAGAAATAGACATGGTGGCGGTACTTCCCTGGACGAAATCTTTCACAAGGAGATCTACTGCTTTCAAAATAGAATAACGAAACCGCTTTAATAAGTTTTCCAATGCTTTAAATTAATCTCCAAGGAAAGTGATATGTCGAAGAAAAAGCTACTTACCGCGCAGTGAAAACAGCTAAACAGTGAACGACGAGGGAGAGGCGTGACTGAGGGTGCGGGGGGAGCCGCCTCGGTATCCGTGGGGGTGTGGCACACCGTCTGAATCATATCAAACTATGTTATCATTAGGTAAATAATAATAATAACGCACACACTCAACATAACCCCGCACTAGAAACCCTGTGTCGCGGATGCCGTGGACACACACATAGACAACCACAAATTACACCCAAACTCACGAGAGAAATAAGTGTAGGCCATACAAATATTTCTACCGGCCCCGGAAACAAACCTGGGACCTCTGCGTGGCAGTCCGGCATGGTAGCCGTTGGGCCACACAGGCAGTTAAATAAACATCTTATCATGTTAGTGTAATCTAAACAAAATTTCCTACCATGATAAGCGTGCCTTAACGTTTATGTATTATTTAAATTGGAACTTGATAAAATGTTTCACATTATCATAAAGATAATCATTTATGTCAATAATAAATAAATTTTTGTAAATCGTCGGCTGTAATACTTTTAGGCTAAACTCTTTTGAAATGCTGTTAATAAAACTTGGAAAATTGTAAGCAGATATATTTCATTACGTATCGCGACATGAATGCTCGCCACCGGCAGAGAGTCCATCCTCATACTCTGGAGCCGAGTCGATCTCATACTGTACGGTTACAGAGAAGCTTCCTCACACGTACAATTATTTGTGAACTGAACTCCCCATCGGGGATTTCCCGTAAGGAATACAGCATGGAATCCTTCAAAAGAGGTTGGAGAAGGGTCCTAAAGGGTCGGCAACGTGCTCGTGACACCCCTGGTGTTGCCAAAATACAAAATAATAAATTGAAAAAAGTCTCATACAGATACATACTTTATAAAATATCTTTAATTTCTTTGACTTTGCGTTCTGTAATACAAATACGAATTACGAATTTATCCTCACGGTTGAGTCGGGAAAAGTCGTGTGTCTATAAAACCCATATAGCCCAAATAAATATTATCCTATAATTTATTTTTTAATTATGTGCGCATTTGACCTAATTTACGCCAATAATAATTTATAGTACTAAATGAACTGTATGTACTGTATTACATCCTTGTTAAAACAACGTAAATATTTAAATTTGTGGACACGTTTTGTCATTGTTATTGTAGTCTGATTGCGAGGCAAACTGTACAATACTGTAGCTACATTATTTAATCCTACTATTTTATTAACTCCTTTTTGTTTTGTCATACCAAGTGACGGGATGAACAAGTCGCCTGCAAGTGCGCCTGGTGGTAAGCGACAGGCCTGGTCATAATAACGGTAGGGATAGCATGATAAACAGAGAATAACAGTATCTCGCTCTTTATGTCGCTCTCGCGCTAGTAGCGCCCTATCGTGCTAGCCCTACAGTACTTTCTAGGATAATATTTTAATTGCTATTTGTAACTTGTCTTACAAGCGCGACATTTAAGATTTAAATTATTTTAACTTAATGAGCTCAGTATTCGAAGACTGACCAAAATGTCAAATATGATGTGGTGGGACTATACCTACCTAACTTCTCAACAAGGTAATCGTCATGAACTTCATCGTGGTGGGTCTACAATTATAAATTATTACCTCATTGTTCTGAGCTGCTTGATTACATGTACGTCCGAACAAAATTTATGTGTCATCGAATAAAAATTTCGGTTTACCGGTATTATTACAATACCAAATCAAAGTTACTCAGCAATTTCAATTTATTTTAATCAATGTTTTCATTAACTTTCCTTACGAATTTTATTAACTGGCAATTAATCAACTTTGGAAATAGTAAGTCAAAAGAAATCCCGCAAAAATTAAATGTTTGAAGTTAGAGTAATGAAAGGTAGTGTCAAACTTAACCTTGACTAAACAAAGCAGTACAGATGTGCACCCAGTGTGCGCTTGAACGTCTTTGGCCAGCCATATCTACTTGAGTTGAAGTAACAATATACAATTCGTATTAAATCACCAAAGCAAAGCTCAAATAACCTAAACGCAAATATGAATAAGTTAGGTATAAGGTATTAGAAGCGTAGCACGTAATGGCTAAAATATCATCTATGTTGGATCTGCTATAAGTTTGGCACAGATAATTCTAAGAAACCAGGAGCTTGACCCCTTGGTCAATGCAAATATCCACGTATTACACAAAATGAGTTGAATGCACGGGTGTTCGGTGTGCGCTTGCGCGACCTTGTGGCAGCGCATACGCACACGGCGGCAGTGGTCGGGCGATAACGACGCCACACGACACTGGCCACGGTTGTCTGTACTCACATTCGCAATAGTTGCCCCGTCGTTGGTGTAAACGGCCGAGTACCTCTGCGGCGGAAAGTTGAACGACGTCGACGACATCTCCGCTCTAATTCAGCACACACACAGCGGCTAGATCACACAACGCACGGATACTGGGTTGGCAGGCGTAGACCGCAGCGCCGCAAAGGGTCAGATGGTGGTCCGCACGCAGCCGTCCCGACAATTCATTGTTCCTTATTTATCAGTGCGAGGACGCCACTTCGCACGCGGTACTCGTAGTAACAGCTGGTCGCGGAGGGCGGGGCAAGAGGCGCGGGCTGGGGCGCAGGGGCTGCCAGATCGTCGACTGACGCAGCGCCGGCGCCCGCGGATTATCACTCTTAGCACCGATAAAGATTACGACCAGAGAACGCCCCCGTCATCATAGTATGTATATTGCGGATATTTAAAATCAACTAAAACAGCAACGCAGCTTTGTGCTATCGATGCCGGACCTTCTCTATCGGTTCCAGTTACACGAAGTAGACTAAACGAAACGTATTGGTGTTGACGGTTCTGATAAAGGAAACTGTGGGTATTCGCTTCACGTTCCCTTATTTATACACTACCGCCATTTCAATAAATAAACAAGCATCGCGAATACACAATGGTTTCACAGTAACTACTCTGACATAAATAACTACTTATGGTGAGCTCGGCGTGGTTATTTATTTTAATATTGAAAACGCGTAATACGGTACTCTACTAGCTAACCAGTACTAGTTCTATAAACAGGTTGCAAGCGCGTCTAAAACTCTTAAACACTTCGATTTCTACGCCTGAAGTATAGTTACCACAATGCCGACAATATGTATAAAATGTAAAGTATACCTATTTGTCGTATGAATATTTATATGAATTTCACAGTTGGATGTCGATGGGCAGGAAAAATCAGGTGCAGAAAAACTGGTTTTAAGTAATATTTTTATTTCCTTACATTTTTCTTTATACATTTAACCATTCGTTAAACTTGAGTCCATTGTACGTCATATTTCATACAAAAACAATATAAATTCATTAGACGAAATACCGGATTATATACAATATTTTATAATCACGGTGTAAATATTTTTACATTAAAGCACTAATTACTGTTTCTATTTAATATTTTTTTGAAGTCGACGCGTTATTACCACAAGCCCACGCAATATCCATTCATTGTAAAATATACAAAAAACACATCATAAGCGCATAATAAACTGGAAAAACATAGCATTTGAGGCATGTTATACAAGAAGAAAAAACTTACGCAATGAAATAAATTTATCAAATTAGATTTTTTTTTAATAAAAAAAAGATAATTCATATTAAATCGACTTCAAAAGAGCTTTTAATCAATAATAAAATCCAATAATTGTGGAAAATTGTCAGTTTAGCACTTTCTAACAAATCTCATTGTATAAAGATTTGTTCATTGATGTGATGTCGTATTTGTTAACTCCATAGATCTTGCATCCAAGTCTGCTTAATTTGATTTTAAAATTTAGTACAACATTGAAAGACAACAAGTCTTCGTCTTCTTAGTCACTGAAGAGTGGTCAAGATGCTTGTAATACGTTATTAGTGTACATGAGGATCTGCATGGCGCGATTTGTTGCGGAGTCTCTTTGCGTCATCTGTACGCGCTGTAGCGCTGACTGGACAGCCGCTGCCACGCCTGCGCTGCGCAGTAGCAGTTTCGCCTGGTGGAATATTACAAGTTATGATATAGCGTAACCACATCGCCCACACCTAAGATAGGCCGAAGCGAGGAGCGGAAACATTGTTTCCGCTTTATCATACCGCTGTGAATTCCATGGGCGATAATTTTTATACCGTTCGATATGGTTTTTTCACATTAAACAACACGTTACGTCACTGCCTCGCCTTATGAAGTAGTGTTAGTGAAGATATGGTTAGCACACGATCGCCTAGAAGCATTGACTTACAATTATATGGACGTCGGGTCCGCGCTAAAAGGTGTCCGCACTTGTAAGGCGCTAAAATCGTATACAGAGCGCGACACTCCGCTTTAGTCTTCATTTGTTCTACGGACAGCGCGATACTGCGATGACATAACAATTTAAATTTCGAATAGGTTGACTTGGGACATTTTTTTCGTGGTTTTTGTATTAGACCCGTCGTCCATTTATTTGTAAGTCAAGGCCTAGAAGGTACATGTTTACTCAGACCTTAAAATATTCAGGCTGTTTCGTTGAGAAAATACAGAATGTGGCCAACAATTCCACTACTTAGCTGTACGCATAATGTACCGTAGAAGCAAAATATGCCAACTGCATGTTCATAGAGCATCTACAATAATAAAAGTTAAATTCGTCGCCACTTCTGGTTGGTTGCATGGTGACGGAAAGGAGCGGGCGGGAATAATCCCGCACATTGATTAAATTAAAGAAAATACTGAATAAGATACTCTATCGTCTAACATTGAAAAGGAGCAAACTTGGTAAGTCTTAAATACAGTGCTACCTAAACATTTAGGCGCCGCGCAAACTTGTGTCTTCTGTTGTATACAAGCAACCGACAACAAGTAGCGAATATTCTATTTTCATGCAATTGATATGAAATCGACACAGTCGCCGGTTGCGGCAGTCGAACACAGTCGCCAGTTGTGGCAGTCGGACAGTCGATTTCATACCAATATGTATGAAAATAGAATATTCGCTTTTAATTGCCGGTTGCTTGTCCAACATAGGACAGATATTCGCTTTTAATTGCCGGTTGCTTGTCCAACATAGGACAGACGTTTGCGCGACGCCTTACATTCATTTCCTTATCGAAAGTTTATTTGTTCTAGGTGTGAAAGTCTGGTTGTCTAATATGAAAACCAATAAAAAAAAATTACAGCTAACACTTGATAGTAAATTGACAGAGCTAACCGCAAACATTGTTCCTGTCATCTAAGTGAGAGAAACGGACTCGCTTATGCAGTCATACTATAGTACTCATTTACAGCACATTCGACAGTGAACAAATCTACTAGGCTTCGGTCTGCACCTTACAAATACATAGAAAACTCATTCTGAAGTTTCGGTAAACTCACATAAAGGGAGAACACATAGATATATATACTTTTTTTAATGTGCCTCGAATATAGTATAAATAAAAAACATAAACCGTTGGTATTGTGCAAATTCGCATATATAGTATTGGTAAAAAGCGCGTATCTGAACCAAACTAAATTTCACAGTAGACGGATTTAACGTCCTTACTTTGTTGTTTCAATGGCTACGACGTTCATTTTTGCACAGTAAGCATTAATTTATGTTGTCTACGGACTGATAATAGTAGATTCTCGTAAATCATGCTAATTTGGTGGCTTCGACATTTACGCGGATTTGATTTTCTAATGACTAAATTACCGAAATGGAGACTCATAATCAAATGCTAGTTACGTGTAATTGCACTATCCCGACGACATCGCAAACCGGCCTCAACAGTGTCCAAGCCAAAAATATTTTTTCAAGTTTCGGAGTCCAGTTTGTGGTGTGAGGTACAATAAAATATCAAACAAAGTATCAAATAGCTCTGTCTGATGAACTGATTACACATTTAATGGATATACTAAATATAACAATAAACGAATAAATAAATAATAAACTAAATAGAATTTGTATATTTGCGTTTAACAGCCAAAGTCAATCCTAACATCTTCAACTACTACAATGACAATTTTAAAGGTATGGTCATTATAAAAATTATTTATAACAAAATCTATTTATATGACGCGGTATATTATTTCAAAAATTAAAGTGATGTGATGCTACTACTTTAGTAGCGCCTTTGCGCTAACATTGACATTACCTTATGATTGTTAGCAGCTAAAGCCCAAACGGCGCGAGCAGCTGACACTATCTCTGCCATATCGCCAGCTAGTAATGTTCCCGAGAGAAGGTCCAGTATATCCGCTGTCAATAAAAATTAAACACGGTTTATCGTACTGCATAATGGAACTACACAAGAGGGACACAAATGAAGTGATGAAAAGTTGAAATTAGTTAAATTCTGTTTACAGATCTATAGGAAGAAAAAACTCAATATCATATCAGTTTTTCCTTGATAGGTTCTTTGCAAACTTTTTTCGTTTACTGTTAGCACTATGGCTTTAAGATATTATTTTTTCAGAAAACTAAAGTTTAAGATACTGTTTACACTTCTGTGTTTTTATTCAAATAATACAAACACGACTGCAGAACAGCTGTGCGTCGATGCTTCGCCACATGTGCAAGTGCAGGCAGTAGCTTCGCGCGTACTGGTGGCGCAGTAAGTAAAGGACGAAGTGAGAGCAGCGCCTGCGCACCATCGGCGTGACGAGCTGCTGCTTCACACAATTTGGCCCATTCGATGCCGGCCGCGCCCGTGCCGCCCGCGGTACGCTCGCGCACTCGCAGTTTGTACATGCATTGTAGCACGTCACTCTGTTAGAAACATTTCAATCAAATATATCGATCAAATATATTGGTAGATGCACGATTCCATACACAATCAAACTCAAAGATCAGCATAACTTAAACAGGGATACTTGTAAAATACTAACAACCTGAATTTTTGTTAAATTTATTTTTTCATAGATTGTCATAGAACAAAAATTGTTGTTCATGGTGTTAGTAATATATTCCTGAGAGGTTGTTAGTATTTTAAAAATAACCCTGTATATGTGTACATCATTAGTTATTTAGCAAATAGTCCTAAAGTGTGATATAATTCACTCTAATATAGATCTTAACATAGTAAAAGCGTCGTCATACATCTGTGCAAGTTTCAACAGATTACCTTTCGTCCTGAATGAATGAATGAATGAATGAAATTGTTATGTAATGACATCTAGAAATGAAACAAGCTGTCGTTTGCCGTTTGGTTTCGCTTATGAACGGTGCCCGCGAGAGTAAAAGGTATTTATTTATTTTATTTATTTATTTATTCATTTAACATTTGCAACTCTTAACAGACAAAAGTCCAAATCGCTACAAACACAGAAACAACGGAAATGAAAACATAAAATTAAATTAAATAAACATAGTACATTTCACAGAACTGAACTTACAGGCATCATTTGTTCAAATACTTTCCTACATTCACTTATCAGACATCCAATCGTGCTTTCAAATAAATCAGTACGTGGTGCCGCCTCGAGTCCCCCGCCAGCGTGCGCCTATATCATCCAGCACAAACAGCCTTAGCAAACGCTGCAGTAAATAAGAGGAGTCAATTTTACCGCGAATAATATTTACAAAAAATTTGGCCAGCGCGAGCAACCTACGCAACTGTAAGGAGTCGAAGCCAAGATGCCCTTGCAAAAAAAGCGTAGGATACAAGAATGGGTGATAACGATAGCGCCTTTTGTATAAATGGCGGAGAAACTGTTACTGTACCTGCTCCAACATGAGGTTATATTTCTTCTAACAAGTAATCCAAACAACTGAGCTTGTCTCCAATATACTTCGTACTAATGATAGTAGAGCGTGCAGGTCGCCCGGTCTGAGAGATGAGAGGCATTTCGGAGTACAAACCCCAGTCGTCGATATGCTATCGACGTAACTGACTCCATGTGCGCATAGAATGTCGGACGACTATTGAAAACAACTCCAAGGTCACGTACTTGTGCTATCCTTGTAATCGGCATACTTCCTAACAAAAATACAAACTCACGCGGCTGTGGTGACCGCGTAAAGCTCATCATGAGAAACCCATAATCCCTAGTTTTAGCAATAACACGTCATTGTCAACCCTGTCGAACGCCTTCTGATAGTTGAAGTAAATAACGTCCACTTGGTTACTGAGAACCGCATGTTACGACTGGCAAAATGGCGGTAAATAAAAACTTTTGTCACGCATGTCACGCAACCGTAGTTTTTATTTTTAAAACATAGACATACTAGAATCGGCCCCAACTGTCATATCGTTCGATATAAAGTAACGTGTGAGATTATCAAAATAGTTTGTTAATGACATTAAATTTCGAATAAAACTTCACCTCGAATGATATTACAATCGCTATCGAATCAAATGGTTTTGTAGTTATTTCATTCATAGATAAACTAGAGTCAACCCCAATTATCATATCGTTCAATATCAAGTAACGTGTGAAATTTGTCAAAATTGTTTAATATTAACATTTCATTTCGAATAAAACTTCATCTCGACTGATATTACAATTGAGGTCGAATCAAATTGTTTTGTTTTTCAGAGATGTTCGAAATTTGAATGTAATAATAAAATCGAATTTGATGTATAATTAGTAATAATAACATTTTCACAGATAAGAAATTTGTTCTAACAAAACAGTTTTTATGCTGGTCGTAATTTGCGGTGTTTGAACACATCATAGAGGGTTTATGATATGTGTGTAGATAAAAGAAATAATGTAACTAGATAATATACTACTGTACGAGTAAGTACGATTAAACATCTTTTTTTATACTAGTAGTGTATATTTTGCATTTTTAACTGCGCACTCCAACGTCGTCATTCGCGAGGGCAGTCATCAAGCGAAAGAGAGCGATTCAAGGCATATCAATCATTTTTGCCTTGTTACGACAATGTCACTTTTAGAGCGGCTAAAGTGTATCTACCAATATATTTGATCGAATGTATTAGTGTCTAAAAACAGTCGACTCAAAAAAGATTTCGTTGCCCATAAGCTGTATTAGTTAACCTTAATTACTGACGCGCCGCCACTGAAATACACCTTCAGCGAACGATGCTTCGTGTGCTAAATTACAACTTTGTGAAGACCCTGGTCAATGTGCACATAAATTATTAATCCACGCATTGATATTTTCGCACGTTCCCACGGTTACACTTATTTAAAGGAAGTTTTCCATTTGCTTCTTCTAATTGTTGGAATGATTTACTACCCCCGATTAAACGTTCTCAAGTCTTTATACACTTTGTAAACAATGAAACGTCCAGAAGTTGCTGGACTAAAAAGCATTCATAACTGTAATTTGTGTTTTAATTTGGAATTGGTTTTATTTGTAAGCAGAGTCAATTTATCTGTACCGATGCCGTCTGTACCTATTATATACTTCTTCTATTGCTTCAATAATATGCAAATGTTCCTATGTTCATGAAAATTATAAAGTCCCACTAATTAAAAATGTATAAATGTAATGAAGTATGACAATTGCCGGCTGCAAATGTACAAGTATTAAGAGAGAATCTGAAAAGAAGCATGTTTTGCTAAGGCTTTTCATTGGCGCTAGATTGTACTATACTTCGGATACTGTACTTTCATGAACTTTTACACATTTATTCATAAGCATTGTTGTATGCTTATGAATAAATATCTTATTATTATTAATAAACAGAAAAAAAATCATACTTTGAGTATAATAGCCCTGCACTGATGGTGCATGACAACATGCCGCAAAGTCTTCAAGCAGAGCAGGAGCAGCATATCGGGGCGTGGCCGCGACTGTAGCGCCGCTTCACGTGAAGTTAATGTACATATTTCAATGACGAGACAACGTCCACTGACACAGTTTGACATTGCCGCCCACGCTGGAAACAGCAGTAATAATATTGTCTAAAAAGAGCTCAGTCAAAATAGCATGATGGACTCTTTGGTCGTATTATCGAGTGGAATAAAGTTGAATTTAAATATTAACAGTGGAGATGTACTTCAACAGCACGTCAAGTTATACATTTATGCCTTTGAATATTGCCTCCAGTGCAACGGAACAAGATCCGTCAAAGTGAAGCTTGATATGTTGCCGTCTGTACCATTAACCGTACAATACCAATTTAGGTTAGTTATAATATCAGAAAAACGAAATTATCTTTGATAAATAGAACCAGTAAGCTCTCACATACCCACGGTATTTGCAACAAAAGAGAAAAATTCCTGTCACTTTATCTGAAGGTTTATAATCTACCTACAAATTAGCGTGATTTCATAATATTTAAAATATGTTCAGTCCAGAAGTACAACACATAAGTAACAATAAAATGTTACTTTACAAGCGGTAACACCAAAAAAATACAAATTTACCTTTAGGGCAATCATTGCTGAATACAAACAAGAGATACACAATCGCAGCTCGGAGTTGATCAGTGAGCATGCACCAGGGCCACAGACGATTGAGGGAGATTGCGATATTGTCTTCTGCGAAGGCCTCTTTTGCAGTAGGACAATCCACCATTTGGCAGGTCATCGTAGTTAGAACCCAGTACACTGTTTTGAGGATTGGATTCTGAAAGTATATAAAATAATGATTAAAGATACACAGTAATAAAACTATTAATTCAAAGATCGAATACAAACAAAATTTCTTCGACCTGACAGTACTCGAACTAGCAACTGTACCAAACCGGGGCCACCACTCTACCAACAGATCTACATATCGAGTCAGCAGGTCTTACGAATTTCTCCATGTGTTTGTTATCGATCTTTGTATTGGGTTTTTTCGGATTTTATCGCTGTGGTTTCGCACAGTCACAGCTCCGAATCACTGTCAGGTTGACGGAACTTTTCTTTGTGTTCGATCTTTGTTCTAATAATTTTAACAAACTAGTGGAGTAATTTCACAAAAACCATATGGTATGTATGATATATCATGGTAGTGAAAACATCGTCACACCTTCCAACCCTGCCCCCACCTGCAATCTGGAACTACAATGCGCACTAAATGCACATATAAATAAAAAATTACAGAAAATTACCTGAGCAGCGTTCCTTAATCCTTCAGCGGAGCCATGCAACGAAAGCCGGTCTCTGGCTGCTTGTAAAGTTGCAAGCAAGACGCAAGGCAACTGTCGGTGAACCCCATACATACGAGCGGACGGGCTTATAGATAGGATGGACGAAAGGCATGAACATACACTAGTCCAGTGCTCGTCTGAAAATTATTCATAATTTATTAAGAAAGTACCAAACAAAAAATCACTACCACCATGGTACAATAGGACAATTATGGTAACTCCATACAAACGTGGCAGCGTACGTGTACGGACTCACACATTCGCATCATCTCGCGATACACTCGCGTTGCATAGTACAGATCGTCGCACTCGCCATTAATCATAGAATTGAAGCGGTCGTTCGATGTTTAAAAAATTACATCATACAGTAGACGTACTTATTATATAGATTTTAACCAAAATAGGAAAAATGTTACGTTCACCAAAAGACCACCTACCTTTACAAACACCGGGTGTCTATAAAGTGAACTGCAGTTGTAGGAGCTCGTATATCGGTCAGACTAAAGGAACAATTGTCGATCGTATGAAGGAACACATCCGAGCAGTAAAAAACAATGATGCACAGAAGTCGATTATAGCACAACATCTCACACAGACTGACACTAACCACTGGATCGAGTTACATAGCCCCCAGGTACCCTTGACAGAACGTCACTACATACCACGGTTGGTACGAGAAGCCATCGAGATCACGAAGTACAAAACATATAACCGTGATGATGGTTTTAAACTGTCCAGTGCATGGAACCCGGTCCTTAGTGCGTGCAGTAATAAAAACAAAAACACCTCGAGTTCAGTTTCGCGTGTGGATACAGTGAGTGTGGTTTGTGTGAAAAAAGTGAGTGACAATTGTAACGCCACAACAAATCGCGATGAAGGTAGTCGTCGACAGCGCAAGAGGGTAGACAAATATGTCTGCTGTTATAGCTGTCATCTGTCGCCGTCCAGTCAACCCGTGATCATGGAGCGTGCAACCGTTCCGAAATATCGGGAAAATAAAAAGAAGTCATACCGTGGTAAGAAACCTGATATTAGTGACAATCATTTGACGTACTTATTGTTTTGATTATGGTAATTTGAATAAGAGTGCCTCAAATTCAGAATTGTTTAGCAATCCATTTCTATTTCATAAATCGGTGATACTGGTAAAAGAAATATCATCACGTGAGTATCTATTCCATTTAACAAAGGTTATTTCAATATAACACGAGAATACTATGATGAACACTTTAATTTTTTCAAATTATGTTTAGAATCTGTAGGTACAACTAAAATAATAATATAAGAACCTTTAGGTTAGAGCAAAGTGTAGGCATTTACGCGCCGAACAAGCGGGAGTTGCCCTACTTGTCCTTATTATACTGTGCTACTACGATTCGTTTTACCAAGGAAGCTATCACAATCTAGTTCATAGATTCTCAAACCTTTTGGCTCACCGCCCACTTAGGTAAGATAAAAAAAAATTCAACGCCCACATCCACACAACATAAATGAAAACACGTAAATTCCGTACTTTTAAATAATGAACACATTCAGTTTTGCTGAAAACCATGATTTCTGTTACTTCGGCCGGGCGTTGAACAAACAAGCACCTGAGGCTTCATAAAGAGCCGAAACAAATGTCGGGTATATTTTTGGTGGCAGGTGATATTTTTCGAGTTTTTAGGTTTTCGCAATTGGAAATTAATGTTTTGAAAAAACAAATATACGCGATTTAAATCGGAAAAAATAGTTTCATTTCCTAAGTGGTACTTTATTAATTATGCGGAGGGAGAGTGGAAAACTTGACTGCATTAATAAAAATACAGCTATTTTGCACGACATAACCTTCACTGGGTTCATGAAGTAACAAATTAATTTACTTCCATTCTTACTACGTACATTTTGTAAATGTTTACTAGCAAATATCTCTTAAAAACACGTGAAATGCCAGACCAGCCAAACCAGACCAAATCCAGGGTCATGAACTAAATATAGCCTAAATCCTCTCCTTAAAGTAGCCATGCCCAGCAGTAGAGTATACAGAGTGGACGTATATTGACGATGAAATGTTCATGTGATTTGTATAAACGTAGACAATTTATGATTTTTAAAAATTAATCTTATCACAACATAATTTCAAATACCTTGACCAGACATAGTCTTCTTCTCCGATGAAAGCTTAATATAAAATTGTATCAACGCTTTACAGATTTCTTCAACCATATATTCTGGCTGGCAATCGTCTCTGCCACTGTCGCCAGCGCCTTGTCTTGCAGTTCTACTCGGATAAGGAAATTTTAAACTGTCCCAAAATACGACGCGCGATGTATCTTTGGTTCTATCAGGATATTTTTTGTTTGCAGCAGATTGAGCCACTTGGGTAAGGCAGTATAGTGACGCTAACTGAATATCTGAAAAAAAAAACATGATTATTTGTTATGTCGCTGCCTTTATACAATATTGCAGAATACTACGATTTCGAACTTGACATACAGTGACGAGCAGAGCAAACAAAACTTTATCGTGAATAAAGTAGAGATGAAACGGATATCCGGTAACTATCCGGTATCCAGCCTATTTTACTATCCGGCCGGACACCGGATGTTTAAAACTGCGAAAAATTCATAATCAGTACGCCAAATAAATTGATTTATTGATTAAAGATGATAGTTAAGATAAACAGCAACTACAGGACCGTTGATAATCTGTTTATTACTTGTAACTGAAAGAACTATGAAGTTAGATAACGCTATCTGCAAATTTAATACTCAAATTTCAATAAAGGCAAATTAGGGTGAATGAAGATCAGATTTTCTGCATGAAGTGGTAAAAATTGGTTCTATTTATTTTCATAAACGAGACCAGCTTCAGAGAGCTGTTTTTCGCTATAAATTCTTGCAAACTTTGTTAAATTTTAAGTACTACTTGTTATCGCCAGAGGACCAAATGAAAGGATCGCGATTACAATCAATTTAAACTGTCTTCAAATACAATAATACAATGTGTACCTACAATAATGAGACGTATAAGTTTTTTTTTTATTTCAGTGTGAAAATGCAATCATTCACTAATAAATCAGTCACGGCGATGCGCGCAGTAAACTGTTTACGGCAGTAGGTCAGATATCCGGCTATCTGGCTTAGATGGTCGCCGAATATCCGTTACGGCCAAATCACTATCCGTTTCATCTCTAGAATAAAGCACCCGTCTTTTTACGTCAAATTTTTATACGTAAGGAAGATGGGTGTTCTGTATGAGAACTCGGCTATTATTGTTTTATAATTTATTATATTATTGTATTAAAGGCAGCGACGTGTAATAAGATGAAATATCAAATTATTTATTCGGTCAGAATATTAAAAAGTTTCCAAGTAATCTAGCCATTACGCATTACGGAACTTTATGGCCCAGTATTAAGAGATTTGCGTGAATAGTATTTACAAACAAATTACACATCGATGTAAATAATACCGCAAAATCAGACAAATTTAACGTAACGCATTTGAAGTTGTACACGCTCTCGGCGGCAACTTCATTACGTAGTAGAACAAAGAAACGCTTCCAGTCTCAATTGCGCACACTAGTCAGATTATGGAAAACAAAGAACAGCAAGTTTAAATTATTCATTAAACTGTACATGGCGTTGGTTTTGGTTGTTTTCTTAAAGTTTGTTCTCGTCAGGCACAATAGATGGCGCTCGATAAAGTGTCGACCTAATGGTTGGTTTACACGTTTTAAGTGATCAAGTCTTTTTTTTTATTTGATTACCTTCGTGTTCTAGTGGCTTGCACACCGATTTCCATGGTGTCGCCATCTCTAAGGTCCAGGGTTCGATCCCCGGCCGGGTCAGTGCTGAAAAACTAACATTTCTATATTGCCACGCATCTGAGTGTTTGTGGTAACGTCGTTGTTGTTGTTTCCGATTTCCATAACACAAGTGCTTTAGCTATTTACTCTGGGATAAGAGCAACGTACGTGATGTTGCCTAATATTTATTTATTTAATATTTAATTAAATTTTGAACTTAATTTCTAGTAGTCTAATCATAACAAGTGTTTTAATAAAGCTATAAGTACTTTCACATTTTTCAAACAAAACTTTAGCCGACCACAAGCTTCAAACTTCAAGTCACGCTTACCGGCGAATGCCCGGGGTGCGGAAGGGTAAAAAAATAGGTTTGATTCTAATCTACTCTGCCCTCCTTATCATAATTAACTTGTACATTTTTAGCGAAATTTAGTTATTACCTTTTTTCTTTCAATTTTATTCAATGTTTATTTTTGGAGTTTCATTTCAACAATTTTCATAATAATATGCCTAGTTAAGTTCAATTTTATCATTTATTTAATATGTTTAACTGACTAATTATTGCATTGAATTACTTTGTAATTCAATTAATTTTTTATTTATGTGATGCATGTAAATAAATAAATATAATTTTTAACATTGCAACGCCCTACACTACAACTACAAATGTACAACATGATACGCAATAAAGAATTTGAATATGAAAAAAAAAAAAATAATAATAAATATATACCTGGATTAAGCAAAACGAGATCTACAACCCCCTCCAAATAGTTAATATTTATTTACTTTCAGATTTATTCTGAAGCAAAATCAACGTAATTGACAGTTTTTTAGGTGAAACTTTAGGTCCCAATATATCGAAAATTTCCGAAACACAAATGTGTTAATTGTGACAAGGAGGGCAGTACTTAACTACTTATCCACTAAATCGATGACTACTTAACAGCTGTTAAGTGATTGTTTACACGCATAAACTAAGTTCAAATTCAATTAATTACGGCGTCACTTAATACGTGTAAACCAGCCATAACATAGTTGCCATAAAACATTATGAAATATTTTGCTGCGCATTCAACAGCGCCTTACAATATTGAACTACGTAATTGATATCTGCATTCAACCATTAAAAGAAAACTCACAGACACGTGGATGCAGTACACAGGTACCCAGTTAATATGTACTTACCAATATCATCGCAATCCAAACACTGTAACAACGAATGGAAGAAACCTCCACCAAATGCCTCTCGTAACAACCTCCAGGTATTGTCCCCAGCCGTACGGTCCGCAAGTAGGGACCCAAGGAATAGAAGAGCTTGAACTCGAGTTGACAAGGACTCTGCCGTGCAAGTATCTGGAAAATATTTTTATAACCTACTGCAAAAAATATGCTTGAGAGGAAATAATAAAGATTATTTAACCTCAAAAGTCAAACATAATCAACTTTAAAAATTAAGAAATCATTAATCTTACCAAGGTAGTTAAATGAGAAATCATGATTATAACATGATCTAGAAGATATTCTTTCACACAACAATGTTTATACCGCATGAAAATGTATAAACTTAACGTAAAATCTGTATAATAACTATGTTATACTATTAAACATAAATTTATATAAAATATCTTTGAGTAAATGTTTTATTAACGAGAATTTAACTACATTTCTTTTTTTTTCCAAAACTAATTAGCAGTAGAGCTCCTTATGTAAGAGTTCGTACAGGGAAGTACTACCACCTTAACTATTTCTGCCGCCAGGAAGTAATGTGAACATTACTGCGTTCCGGTTTTAAAAGTTTGTGTGTAATTTCACACAGGCACATGCGACTTGTCAACTTATGTCTCAGGGTGACGGGCGCAGTGAGTGTGCCCTCAGATCTTTGGGATTTAAAGCTCTAAGTGGTACTGTAACTACTATGGACAGGCGTGTCGCTTACCACCAAGCACACGATTTGTTCGTCTCGTCATTTGGTTCATAAAAAACCGTAAGTCGCAAATTTCTTTTAATGAACAAGGTAATCCCACACAATAAACCCTCGAGCTAACGGACTCAACTGGTGTTGCAATAGTACAAGCAACAGGTGACTAATAGAGGAGGAGGTTTTTTTGTAGATCACTGGATCCACATCCAAGTGAATTCAGGCATACCATCTGGTCTGGAACTATGATATCCATGATTATGATGTCGGTTCACAAATGTCATAGTAATCACGTAACATACTCAAAACTAAAAATACGGTCGAATTGAGAACCTCCTCCTTTTTTTTAAGTCAGTTAAAAATACATGCTAATTTTAGTAATTCAACGAATATAGAGCTACGTTAGGAAGCAAACAGCAGGCGCTATCTCCGTATTGAAAGACGAATTAATATACAAAGCACGTGAGCGAACGAAACAATGGTCATAAAATACCACACTCGATAGATAAGGACACAAATAATAATTTATTGTAGGTGTTAGGATACGGAATAAAAATCTCTTTAAGGTGAGTAGATGGAGTAATTTCTTTTAAATCAAATTTCTTAAAGAAAAAGTTGTGGGTTCCATAAAATTAAATATCTGTTTGGCTCGTCACTGGAAACATAAATAAAATAATAAAACTGTTTTATTTCGAGTTTTTAGGTTTTGGCGATTGTTACACATAGGTAATGAAACTATTTTTCCGGATTTAAACCGCGAATATTTGTTTTTTCAAACAAACCAACCGTGACCATGGGACATATAAAGGGCCCGAATCGTTGGTTTGTTTGAAAAAATAAATAAACGCGATTTAAATCCGGAAAAATAGTTTCAATTCCAATGTTTTATTTGTATATATTAATATACCAATAATTACACAAAAGCTGAATTAAGGGACTGGTGTTTCCTTTTAGGCTTGATAGGGCCTGTGTTAAGAGATACCGCTATTCTATATATAGATAGGTACAATATTCAAATTTGCTCTTAATTTGAATATTGACGTCTACTAGAACAAGTTTTAAAAACATAGATAACATACATACATATACTTCACGCCTTTTTCCCATACATAACAACCAGTACGTTTACAGTACATTCAAACTTTAACAAATAAATATTGTAGATCGTAAAAGTAATCGTGCTGGCACTACTGGTAACATTTTATGTACGTCACCGACAGCGGACACTGATCTCCTCTAAAGCCATAATCCACCAATCTAAGTCAGTGCGGGGAAATTATACAAGTCTTAGAAGAGTTTTGTAAACCTTCTCATGTATTTTAACCATAATTGACATTTTATAAACAAACCTTCATCAAACGGAGTAATAGTTAACAGCAAGTTATGAAGACAGTCCGTCGTCGTGGCGAGGGTTTCGCGTACACACTTATGAGCCGTAGCGGCGTAAAGAGCACGGCATGATGCTCTTTGAATACGCTGATTTTCGGATGTAGTGCCGTTTGACCAGGATGTGCATCTGGGAATTTTATTTATATTTTCAACCATACTTACAGAATCTTAGTGTACACGTAAATAATGTTAATTACTTGATGTTGTGCGATGCTAAGAAATATGCGTTATGGGAGCCACGTGTATACTGCACACGACTTCTGATAATGTGATCATAAAAAGGATAATCTATAAGTTTATAAAAGCATTAATAATAATTAGCACGGAGCTATTGTTTTGAACTAGAACTCATCCCGTCCTCAATAAAGAAATTGGAAAGTATCACTTTTAGAGAAGTGACAAAATTAAAATATAACGACGACTATATAGATATAATTAATTACCTACGAGTGGCTTGCACACCGGTTTTCATGGTGTCGCCATCTCTGAGGTCTGAACTTTTCTGTATTGTCTTGGGTCTAAGCGTTTGTCGTGGTTGTTTCCGAATTCCATAACACAAGTGCTTTAGTTACTTACTTTAGGATCAGAGCAACGTGTGATGTTGTCTAATATTTATTTACATATTTATATTGAACTATTTTCATATTAAATGGAACTCTGTTATATTTAATAAAAGCGAAATATACCAGTTGGCAACAAATTAACAAAATCAAACTTTAAAAAGAAAAAAGAAACCATTTCTGAAAATAAGTATCGGTTTGTTTTTGCTTTCGTAAAAAAATTCACTTTCCGAATTTCGTCATTTTAATAATGAGGGTGCGTTATGATAACCTAGAAATGACCGGTACCTAGTACCTTATTTTCACTCACAACATGTACACATAATTATGTATGTATACATGTCATATAACAACCATGCTACAGTTCTTTAGGATGATCGGAATGACTCCCAGACATATAATTCGAGCCACCGTGCATTTTCGGTTTAAAATACTCAAAGATAAAAAATGTTAGATTGACAACAAACTGTCAAAGTAATTTTAAAGCTGGTATATAAAACGTCATTTCCGTACGTCCTTGTCGAAAATTTGAATTTGTAAAACATGAGAAAATTTTTCCTTCAATATAATAATTTTTTTGTACATAACAAAGCTAAGACGACCTCCATAGTGTTTTCAAGGTTTTCAAGGTGTCGCCATCTCTAAGGTATCGGGTCCGATTCCCGTCGATTGTGGTCCCGTCGTCATTTCCGATTTCTATAACACAAGTGCTTTACTTGCTTACTTTGGGATCAGAGCAACGTATGTAATGTTGTTAACAAGATTTTTGTGTCCTAGCTCTTTAAAAATAATAATGAAAGACGGTTTGAATTATGTGTCCGAAATTGTAGCTTACAATTTCGGACACATAATTAAAACGAGACGTTACTTACCTAAACAACAACCTATAGAGTCCCCGATCATTCCATTCTTGTATAGGGCAGCGGGCGAATGAGCTGACATTGTACAGCACTTCAGCAGTTGCTGAAACCAGCGCGGCAGTAGGCGGAGGTCGACCACGGAACGTGATTAAAGAAGGTGACACGTGGACGTCGCCGCACTTTTGTGATCTTACTTCTAGCTCTGAACGGCGTTCAAGCAATGACAATGGAAGATTTGGCTCTGTAAAAGTAATATGACAGAGATTTTAAATTGTTCATAAATAATATAGTATTCAAAAGTAAGAGACGAATATCTGTTAGTAACGCAACACACTCTATAGCCCCGCACTAGGGAAATCCTGAGTCGCGGGTGCCATGGACACCCACCATAGACAACCCACCCAAACTGACGACTGAAATAAATGCAGACCATACACATATTTCTTCCGGCCTGGCATTCGAACCTAGGACCTATGCGTGGCAGTCCGGCTTGGTAACCGTTCGGCAAAGGAGGCAGTAAAGTGCTCCATGTGAAAGAGTTCTTCCAAAGAAGCTGCCACCTTACTTATTTCTGCCGCGTAGCAGTAATGTAAGCATTATTGGGTTCCCGTTTTGAAGGGTTGAGGGTGCTGGTGAAATTACAGACCTATGGGACTTGTCAACTTATGTCTCCGGGTGACGGGCGCAGTGGTAGTACCCTTCAGATCTTTGCACTTTAAAACTGTGAAAAGCACTGCAACTACTATGGATAAGTGTGTCGCTTACCACCAGATGCACGACTTGCCGGTCTTGTCACTTGGTGTCATAAAACTCTCATTTGAGATAATCTTTGCAACCATTGTAACAATTTTTAAAAATTCGTTCAGGGGACAATGTTACGTTCTTAATAGTGAAACTTAGAAGTCATCAATTTAGAAGTATTTCATAAATTTTGAAGAAGCAATTTTACTGCACTACATAGTAAAAGCATTTGACAACTATTCAAAATTAAGTAAATTGTTTGACAATAAACAGTAGACACAAATTGATGGTTTGATATTTTACAATATGCATGGACATTTAAAACAGACATTTATAAATCAGGAGAGAGACATTTATAATCGGTAATACTGGTTTATTGCGTCACATCGGTAAAGGCGCAATACAACCTACGTACAGTTAATGATCGTTTGTTAAAAAAGAGACGGTGCTTGCCCCACCACTGACTTCAACAGTTAATGCCTCTATTGTTAGTAAAAATAGCGAAGAACATTAATGTTCAAACAAACAACACGTCAGTTAATAAACACCTGAGTTGACTGAAATATTTAAAAAAATTACAAATAAACCCTATTTGACAAGGTTACAACAGTAGCAAACGACTTTAAGAATTACCACACAGTTACGGGTTTAGCACCACTCGCCAAGTTTTAGTGAACAAACGATAATTGACCTAGTAACCAGTTGCTAAATTAAGCATCAACATTTCGCGTTTAATGCCTTTATTTGCAAATAAATTGGAATGATTTAAGCTTTCTTTTTTTGCTACATATTTAATAAAAAACATACCAATTTGATGATACACATTCTCCGAACATAACTTACCAAGAACGTTTTTGTACTCCTTTTCATTACACAAGTCCACCAATATGTTTAAGCAGTTATCCAAAAACTGGGTATCTTTCAATGTATTTAGAATTCCTGTTTCCACAATCTGAAATTAAAATGGTGTCGTTTGTGTTAAATGGCCGGGAACAGAATTTTAAATGAATTAGATTAGTACATGAATATAATCTCTGTCACTTGTTCGCTTAAGTCCACAGACAAAGTCAACAGATAACTAATACCTGCGCATGGACTTTAATTACCCGGAGTTTCTCATTTGAATTCAGTTTATTTTAGGCTTTAGGTAATCCAGTTAAGCTAATGCCATCTTGGGTAAAAGTGGTCTAACTATGATTCCATTAGATCGTATATTTAATCCGCACTTTTGTTTACATTTTTACATTCTACGCAGTTGTTTTGACTCGGTTATCGTTCCAAACAAAAGGAGGAAAAATAAAATAACGGAACTAAAGAAAATATATTTTTTGTGTTTTTAAGTACAATATCATAACTACATTTTATATATACGCTTAAATACTAATATTGTTTATTGTATCATTAGATATAATAAATACATTTTAAAATTTATTCGTTATCAAATAGACCCTAAAAATATTATTACCGTTTCTTTTAAGTTGCCTCTTAATATTAAGGATTTGAACGATTCTAACTATTCTACTACATTTAATATGTATCATATTTCTTGTTATGACTTCTCTATAGACAGTCAATACATTTGTATTTTCCCAAATTTTTCAGCCCAGACTTTTCTTTAAACGAAAACTTCGAATTAATTTATATTAAGTCACGATTCTATATCTAACCAGCCCCATTGTTATTAAACATTCGTTTCTAGTCTATCGTTACAAAAAGCTTTTGTAAAATCCTGGGTCAAATATTCAAACAAAAAATTGTAACGAAAAACAACAACAACTTTAACCTGTTCAGTTTGTTAACATCCATTTAGTGTCTAAACCCAAAACACGATTAAATTCATGATAATCACATTCCAATCACACTCCAGTTTGTCCATTGTGTACATACCAAATCTATAAATAATATGTTCAATAGAATTCCAATCTTACTAGCCTAACATTGATAAATAATAATTGAATCCGTCCCATTATATGATAACATTATCAATTTCACAATAAGAACCTTATTAGCTTTATCACTGTCAATCATTTGTACTAATATTAAAATTAATAGTGCAGTAAAATAGGAACATTATACATATAGTACATTTTGATTTATAAGCCTAAACAATACATCACAAGACTGTGATCCAATAATTCCACTGAATTAAATGAGATGCTTTGATTGTCTAATGATGTTGTTATCATTTTACAGGCAACATTCCGTCGGTTACATTTCCCGTTCTGTATTTCTGATGATATATTTTAAGCTACAAGACCAACGTTTTTTTAAAGTCAACAGTCCAGAATCAATAAGGAAAGCGGTACAGCATTTTTGCATTACAATAAACAATAATGAATCATAATATACGGTACATTAATTTTCAGTGCCAACCAATTTGGTTAAATTATATTATAACTTATTAAATTTAAGAAAAATGCCTTCTTTGTTTTTAAGCATGACACTTCGAGGGTGGTATTCTAATTTTGAAGAAGTTCTTCCGCACGGTTCTACTTCAAAAGTGCTCAGAATGACTGTCAGGCTTGCCACTACTATCAATTGTGCGAATCGACCTCCTGAAACACAAATATTTAGTTATGAATATTACATGACGTTTCTTAAATGGCTCGCGTCACTAATATCCTTTAATAACACGAATATTGATATCAAAGTCATTACCAATGAAACTATTCAGGCATCTCAAAGTAAGTTAACTTTTAAACTAACAATAAGACCGTTAAACATAGGATATTTTAAAAATATCCTCAAAAGCCTTTGCCAAGTCTCGCCAATTATGTTTTCGTAAATATGACTATCTTAAAATCACAAAGACAGTTGTGACTGGCGATAACAAATGGGGTTTTAACTGACTTAATAAAAGATCATGCTGTATTATTAGCAAACTGTCAAGTTTTCTAGTACAATCGTATGCAAATAATAAATCATTTTCTCATACTGTGAATAATGTTTAAATAACACGACGACTTTTGTTATTTGTCTTACAATGGTTGTTTTATGTTCATTTCTTAAATCACCATTTAAAAACAATGAGAGATGCCTGCTACATTCATTACATTGGAAGAAATCACTTTATGGGATAAGCTCGCCTTTGTACAAAACGTTTTATTTCTTTGTATACATTTGTTTTGTTGTACAATAAAGTGTTTACATGTATATATACCTATTTGTTATAAAAGTTCTGTTTAACGATGCACATTAATAGTAGTCACTATAAGACTTTCATACATCGCTGAGTAAAGTACAAAAGTCAACATGGCTCCTAGTTTACCATTTACCAAAATTTCAATCAGTCATAAAAATAAATTTAGTAATTAAAATTACATTTTATATAAGTTAATCTAAATATTTACCTCCATAGCAGTATAGACTATTAAAAAATGACTACGTACCTGGACAACTCCTCGGACCATCGCCAAACGCTATAAACCCAGCCGGGTGAGCGTCATTGGCAAACCTCTCTGAGTCAAACGTGTCAGGGTCAGCGAAATGAGCTGGATCCCGTTGAATGCAACAAATTGGTATAAGAACATTCTCTTTCATTTTCAGTTGCAAATCAGTCCCTGGTAGAGCACAAGACGAAGTACATAGACGGGTGGTCAACGGCGTAGGAGGATGCAGCCTTAACGTTTCACACATAACCTGCAAAAGTAACTTCATCGAAACCGCAGCATCATAATTCAATTCGCCAAACTGTGTCAATTTCTCCTTTATCTCATTCCGCAATTGATCTTGCAGCTCTTTGTTCTTGGCCAAATGGTATAAACAAAACGACAATGTGGTCGCCGATGTTTCTAAGCCTGCTAGCATGAATATGTACGAATTGGAAGTGATCAAATCATCAGTCATTTGAAAACCGTTTAGGTGAGTTTTCTGTACATTCAACATCAGTTGGAGAAAGTCATGTCTTTCAAATCCAGTGTTCCGCCTCTCATCAAGAACTTGCTTTATAATACGGGTGAAGAAGACCTCTATTTCGCGGGAATAACTGACTAAATTTAACATTCTAAACAACCTAGGAAAAAATGTACGGGTATATCGTTTCAATATGCGTGACCGTGAGGGTTCGAGAGCTTTTTGGGCCATTTTCAGAAAAGGCGAGTCGGCATTTTTTAAGGAATCCGGATTAACCCCAAAAGCACAACTGCCGATAACATCAGTCGTGTAGCGACTCATCAGATCAGGTACGTCGACTTCCTCCAGGGAGCCCTGCAGTAAAACACTTTTCAATGTCTCCGCACACTCTGCGATTAAAGGAAACATAGCTTTCATCTTAGCTGAAGAAAATGTAGGAGTGACAATTTGTCGCATCGATTTCCACTCAGAACCGCTCATGTTGGCCAAATTGCGAAGTAGAGGTTCCCGCTTTATGTCCGTATTAGCCGATATACGATCACTGAAACATTGAAACTCCTTGGTACATATATTTTTCACTATATCCAGATCTATTATCATCAAAGTCGGTCTTCGCGCTTGAAATATGCCCACATATTTTTCCTGCCTGAATTTATGATACAAGACCTGCAGTGTGTCAGCGTAGCTTTTCCTCATGGTTAGTGTCGCCCCGAAATTTCCAAATATAGGACATGGTTCTCTGTAAGGCACATTCCGTTTCTCCCAGTACTTCCGTCCGCCGGTAGAGTAGTGATAAATTCCCAAAAGGAACGTAAGAACAAATATTATTACTAAGAGAATAACAGTGATCAACATTTTGCACAAACTATATGAATCCAATAATCGTGACAATGATTGAACACATCCACTACAAAACACTATTTTTCAACAGGCGGCGAGTCGGCGGCGTTGCGTGTAAGTAAACAAAACAACGTAGCGCGTGTGCCAGTCAATGTGCGGGCAAGTCGCGCGGGGCGCCTGCTGTGCCGTTCTGCAATGGAATGAGGCGTATCGCCGGTGAATGTACAGATAAGCCCTACAGGCTGCCTGCCCAAGGACAATAGTGTTGACCGTTGACGTACGGCGCCAATATGTGTGGGCTCTCACACTCCAATTTCAATCATATCAATATTCATCAACATCGCATCGTTATCATTCGTTGCATCATTTTCTTGAAGCATATATTACATAAGTAAAGACGAATTCATATTTCTTAAATTGTAGTACGTAATATGTACCATGAAAAATATATTTTTGAAATTCTATTTTGAGTAAGTAAAGTTCTAGTTTGATTGTGAAGAAATTACAACATACAAAAGAAAAGTAAAATATTGCATTTTGAATAATAATAAAAACTAACGCATTCACAAATAATAAATACGCATTATATTATTGTTGGATTATATACAAATAATCTTATACCTAAGTGTCAGGCACACGTATGTTGAACAATCTAGGTAGTTCCCATAATACATTAAAGCAATGTGTGTGGTCTCGTCGCTATTATTATGTTAACACCAACAGCATACTGATCATCTGCCGACCTCATAATATACAAACAAAGAAGTGATTATGTGAGCGCAATACTTTGTGCACTTCTGATTATTTTTTCTATGACACATTCTGATTAGTAAAAAATAATGTACATTTTGTTATTGCAAATAATATAACAATGGCATTTCGCTACATTGTAAAAATAATTAAAGTCGATACAAAATTATTAATACATTGACTGCGTTTGATTTCGTTTTTGTATTTTTAAGCATTTTTATAAACGTTAATAAAAATAAAACATAATAGAATTGCCAACGTAACTGAATTGTGGGTCTATAATTTAAAAAAGCGGACACATAATTGAATCTACTAATAAGTTTATCTAGTTATTTATAATATCATAGAATATGAATTTTTAATCATTCAAATATGTCTCAGTTTACAGATTGAGATGCTATTTTAAGCAATTGTTTAATTTTACCGACAGACATTATTAGTAACTTTAACTACTATGCATAGCAGCAAATATAGTCTTTTTTTTATAATATCTAGTGACGGGACGAACAAGTCGTGCGCCTGGTGATAAGCGACACGCCTATCTAAAACAGTTGCAGTGCCATTCAGAGCTTTGATACCAAAGATGTTATGGGCACTGCCACTGCGCCCGTCATCCTGAGACATAAATTTACAAGTCCCATGTGCATGTAATTTCACCAGCACCCTTACCCTTCTAAACCAGAACGCATTAATGCTCACATTATTGCTTGGCGGCAGAAATAGATAAGGTGGCAGTACTTCCCTAGACAGACGCTTTCACAAGGAGCTCTACTACTAATAAATGATGTTTTACTACCATGATATTCGTTATTATTTGTGAAATTACTACAGTAGTTTTTTATAATTATTAATACAAAAATCGAACACAAAAAAAATCCTTCGATCTGACAGAATTCGAACCTGTGTCAGTATGGCAATCTGATAAATTATTTATATAAATTATTTCACTCGGAACACATTGCGATGTAAGAATCTGTCACTTACTATACTGTAACAATAGAAAGAATTTAATAGACACTCACGTCAGTATGTGGAGAAACCCGTGCAGAAAGTGTTGTAAGCAGGGTCGCAGCAGCAGTTCGGACCACGTTGGCTTCGTGATCCTCGGAGAAGATATCAGCTGCGTATAGAGCCAAGGACTCTACCGGGATCGCTGTATGAAAACCATATAACTTATAGACAATTGGGACGCGAACAAGGAAAAAAGTAGTTAATGTTGCTATGGCGTCCATAGAAAGAAGTTAGATTCGATAATTCCCAAATAATAAACAACGAACCGTTTTCCCACATATAAAAATTTTAAAGAAGGCATGTCTGTGCTTTGTGAAAAAAAAAACTTAAACTGAATTATAATGGTGTTAATACCAAATATTAATTAAGATTAGTTTTAAAATTGACTTTTAAAACAGGATGTAAATACTTTAAAACTGTCGACCTTTCTACAAAACACCGGCGACATACGTACTAATATATATACATATACTAATATATTATATATAATATATATATAATAATATATATATATAAATATTTTGTGACACACACACACATAAATATTTTGTTTTGTTGTTTGTTCGCGAAGACGGCTTTAATATTTGAATTAAGTTTTCATTTATTCATTACGAAACTTGTAGGTTAATATAAAACATCATTTTACGTTACTATTTATAATGGTCGTGAATTGTGCTGTGTACGGCTGTTTATCATCATTTTCCGAAAGATGAAACGAAGTAAGTAAAACTTATGTCTGAGACTCATTCAGTTATGATTTTCATTTATTTACTGCAGAGTAATATATGTATGTATACAAAATACACGACGCAAGAAGACGTCGGTTCGAATCCGACCGGATCGAAGGAATTTTTTCTGAGTGTTTTTTCTGAGTGTTCGATCTTTGTATTAATAATTATAACAAAAAAGTCATATATATTGGAAAAATATGATTTTTTTCAAAATGGCACTTTTTCCATGACTCAACTCTACATAATGCTGTTTTTGCTAAAGTAAATATGTAATGTACTTGAACGAAATGAATGTAAAGACTAAGCCGTTCCTATCAAGTAACAGGAAAATAAAAAAATACTCAAACTATTCATGTATTCATTATTTTGTTTCACGACTAGATTCGAGTATAATGAGGGAAAGGAATAAATCCCCGCAAAGAAAACATATTTTCCTTATAACGGTATCCAAGAACAAGCACGTTCATCATTCCATACTAGTCAATATAACATGGTGACGATTCGGAAAAACAAAACCCAATTTAAAATAAAATCCATTTATTTATTTCGTAATCAGTAAGAACAGGATAGATTTAATTTCAGTTTAAAGCTGCCAACTATTGTCGTCATATGAATTTACAGTTTAAAGCTGCCAACTATTGTCGTCATATGAATTTACGTATAAGTTTAAGCAGCAGTCTATGTGCGTTGAATAATTTGATATACTTAAATCAAAATTAAATCTTCTGCCTATTTCACTAATGACGAAAGAGACAGATGCAATGAAGAAGAAAAGATGCATGAATACTTTTAGGTCTAGGGCAAACAGAAGGTCAACAACACATAGAAATGTTCATTAAGTCATATATTGCAAATTCGTTTTGGTACAAATGTAATTAAAAACTGAAAGACAGAATTGAGCAAAACGCTGATAAATTCATGAGAAATGTGAAACTGTGGCATGTACAATCAAAGACATTCAGACATTACACTTTGCCGTAATCATCTTATCATAAGTCGCATAGAGTTGACTTTAAATCTAAAGTGTAAAATGAGATATGCCGTCGTCCGTCCTTTCATTTGATGAAAGATGTTAATCTCTGTGATGGATTGCGTTGTCTCATAATATTTCGAACAAGGCAAACAATATTATAGGATATGCCGTCTGCGTAAGGCCTAACTGACAGATAACAGGAAAACGACTTGAAATACTTTTATTACCTTAACTTGACTAATCATGTTTTGAATAGGTTTACGAGTTACAGTGTTAAACAACATACGTATATAATGTTAGTTACTTCAACAATAGTGCATATGTCATGTGTATTCTTAAGTTATTTGCTCATAATTGAAAATAAATGACAACTTCCTTTAATGTGCTCATTGTTGAACTATCTGTACAAGACAAATAATATAATAATATCTAATCGTTTTTCTTTCGTGTGAAGATTTGCCCAGTCAATTCCACTGTGTGTGGGTCTGTACCATTTAATAAACAAAATGGAACGTAAACGTGGCTATTTTCAAAATGCAAGTTAAGGAGCATTATTTATCCACTGTTTCATCCATTTCAAAGGCATTAATTATATTGTGAAACTTAATAATAAGCCTGTTATTGTAGTTATTGTCTCCTGTATTCGGGTCTACTGGAAAATATATAACTATATAACATAGTTTGTGCCAAATAGCATGGCAGTAGCGATCAAGCACTCCTTCCTACCACTGTATACATCAATTGTGAAAACTATACACTCCAATGTTCCTAGTAATGTGCGAAAGTATTATCGTTAGCGTATCGTGGTAGATGTCACTTTGACTTACAGCTGACATCGGGGGTTGTAAACATTTAAATAGTTTAATAGTAAGGAAACATATTGATTAAACTGTAACTCGACCGATTGCAAGCCCAATCGAACGCGGAATACAGTTTAATAGATTTAAACGGAAATTACCTCAAGATTTTGCGCATCTGACATGAAAAGCGGGTAAAAACAAACATTCGTTATTTTTTAGACGCTTATAGTATTTTTTATGCATAACAAAAGGAAAAAGATTAATTTTATATTTGATACATCAATGGTGAACTTACAGACACATGAGACTTGTCAACTTATGTCTCAGGGTGACGGGCGCAGTGGTAGTGCCCCTCAGATATTTGAGATTTAAAGCTCTGAGTGGCACTGCAACTTTTGTAGACAGGCGTGTAGCTTTCCATCAGGCGCACGACTTGTTCGTCCCGTCACTTGTGTTATGAAAAAAAAACTATTTTGAATTTTTTTTTATTTATAGTTATTATGAACCGAGTTTTAAATATCAGTTTCATTTAAATCTAGTATATTATGCTAACGTCATATAATATTTATTTATTAATAAACATACATACATACACATCATTACAATAATAAGAAATATAATAATCTTAATTACAATAATAAAAATGTGATGTATACAACCATTGACTTACAAATAAATACAACATTCAAATTGACAGAGTAATATGCATCAATTTAATTTATTTTTTAAGTTACATCATTGCCTTTTATTAAGTTAATCATGCGATGCCAAAATTGCGACAGTTTTTTAAGGAATTGGCGATCGGTCGCTGCGAATTACGTATTCAGGATGAAAGTCAGGTGAATGATCGCTATTGCCATGATATTGGGCACAAACTCAAACAGTATGTTTGCGTTTTCCTTTGTTTTCCCTGTGCAATAAATTTATAAATAAAAGAAAAAAAATGAGATAAAACACAAAAGGGTAGAAGTAAGGTATATCTGTATAATTTGGTTAGCTTTTTAAACAAACCTTGCAAAAGCTGTGGTAGAAGTTGCGTATGGCACGCAAGCGCAGCCATTACATTTAACGCGGCCGCTCGCAGATCGGCACGCGCGCCCTTAGCACAGAGTACCACCGTGTTCACCACCTCGCTACTCCATAGCTCGCTCCAGCGCTATTAAATGTCAAACAAATGTGATAGAATAAAGTGATCACATACAGACATAAATACACCAAAACTTTATAGACTTCCGCATGCAGCGGATATAATGTACATATATAAAAAAAATATTTGATAAGGTTTGCACCGATAACACGGATTATTAAAGAAAATTCTTATTGTGTTCATCACGCTGATAAATTACACGCTTATCGAAGCACGTTATATCCCGGAAATGTTTTCAGCACTTGTTCTTTAATGCGGACATGAGTTATGCCAAACAACGTGAGCATTGTATGTAAAGTGAAAACAAATTAATAGGGACAGTGGGACACAAAAATAGGCCTTATTCATTTATTCAGAATTATTTCATTATATCGTTACATGTATATAATCATTATATCGTTAACAAATATCATAAACCTATTAATACCTACTACATTTAGTAGCAACAATCCTCAACGGCATGTAACACTTAGTTTTAAGATGGACGTAAAACTCTTTTCAAGCACAGCAACATGGCTGGAATTTTTCCATTAAAACCCCGTTAAACTAATCCACCCGGCCTGCTTTCACGATCACGTCTGCAATGGTCTGTGGAATGTCGATATATTCATAACGTGGTGTTCACACTGCGTTTGGAATTGACCTTTAGGCGCTATGTTAACAGAAGTGAGAAAGCACCTGTCATAATCGGGAACTACACTCATTTACAAGTCAAAAGTAATTCGATGTAGTATAGTTTAATAGCACCAATTAACATTTGCACAGGTAATAAAATTGGAAATAAGTTACTTTGCTACTACGCGAGCTCAGTGAATAGCTGCGATTGTGGTGAATGTTTTTTTCCATCATCATCACGAACCAAATATATACTCGACACTTCTCTAGGAGGCATCTTCAGGAGTTGTTGATTGTACGAAGTTCGGCCGATTCTTCTGCAGAGTTCGCGGAGGCACAAAGCAATTTGCTTCCATTTTCATTAACATGCATATACGCAAAGAAACGCCTAAATCTACTAATTACCTGCACAGGTATCCGTTCTTCGTGTATCTGCCGTAACAAAGCCAGCAGTGCGAGTAAAGCATCAAGTCTACACGATTGGCCTTTTCGGCCTCCACCGGCCGCGCAACCAGCTAGAGTCGTTGTTAACACTGTCATGCTTTGCACTAGGGTATCTTCGGATAGCTTGCAGTAACGGGAGTTAAGAGAGTAACGTATACATCGTACCAGCTCGTTAAGATAGCCTGGAAGTACAAACTCACTTCAGTACAAACTCACTGCCCTGACCCACAATTTAACAGTGCCATCTTTACTGATAGTAGACTTTTGTGCGTGTAAGTTGTATTCCTGCAATTTGTATTTAATTTTGTATTTGTGGTAATAAATAAATTATTATATTATTATTAGTATAATTTAGAACAATTGCAGCTATCATCGCATAAGTGGTGTAACACAATGAAATGCATATAGAAGATGATGAGGGATTTAAAATTATCTAAATTCATTTTATTTATAGCAATCGTATATCACCAATATATAATTTTTATTTTCATTGAAAATAGCATTCAAATATATAATAATAATGTACTTTAGTATAATTCACGAAGAAATATTGTAGTGAAAAAAAAAACGTGGGTTCCACCACTTTTGCACAGATAGCCTCAATTACTGTTAGAATGCGTGAAATCAATTAAGGTCCCACCAATAATATAACAATTACTCATCATATCTGGGAATTAGGATTACAATCATGAAATTGACTTGGAAAACGTAAGTCGACAGTGGAAACTTTCTGAAGGAAGTTTCCATGAACACAAGGTAAACTTACCTAGCATATGAAAATTTTTCAAATCAATTTTCTGCAGACAAGTGAGTAGGATCCTCACTAGACTTTCCAGCCTGTTGCTATCATAGTCATTATGGTATTCCAATATAACAACGCATTTAAGGAGAACTTTGACTATATGAATGTGCAATTGAGTAACTTCAATGCTTTCTTGTGGAGTCTGTTCCAGGTATAATTCGTTGCGACTTAGAAGTGATATAACGGACGCGTCGTTGCCTATGAAATATGTTTTTATCCAGGCGATTGAGGTTCCTTGTAACAAAATTTTACATAAATATACAAGTGTAAAGGACTGTACGAGCTGGTAATGCAGTTTGGTAGCAGTGGAGCTCCTTGTGAAAGAGTTCGTCCAGCATTACTGTGTTCCAGTTTTGAAGGGTAAGGGTGCTGGTGAAATTACAGGCACATGGGACTTGTCAACTTATGTCTCAGGGTGACGTGCGCAGTTGTAGTGCCCCTCAGATCTTTGCAATTTAAAGCTCTGAGTAGCACAGTAACAGTTAAGGCCAGGCGTGTAGCTTACCATCAGGCGCACGACTTGTTCGTCACTCGATATTATAAAAAAAAATTAAAATATTTAATAAAAATATTACTGTTTAAAGATACGTAAGTAATAGGCGAATATAAATAGCACCCAAGATATAAGTCAACATTACCAGAGATGTAACAATCGTCAAAGGTGCCTTGTGCAAAATAGTTAATTAAAAAAATTTTGGTGATAGCTGCATTTTTAAAAAATTTAAAAGTTTTTTTAAAGTTTAAAAAAACATCAAAATAACAGGCGACCCTAAGCCCATTAGCGAATCATGTAACTATATTTATAACAAAAATATGGTATGGGATTATTAGTAAGGTTTGACAAGTGACATTCCAAGGAAGGGATAATACAAACAAACAATGAAAGCATTTATTGTTGATTTTTTGATTAGCGTATATATAAACTCACCATTATCCGGTATATTGTTTATATAAGATATTATGAAGTTCAGTAAAGTGACGAGTAATGTAGTGTCTCTGGATGATGCTGGCGGCGCGTGAAGAAATCGCCGCATATGTTGCCATGGAAGGGAACCAAACTCTCGGATATTCACTGACGATAGTTGTAGCAGGTGCGTGTAACTGTTAGACATTAGTAAATTTTAATTACGTAGTTAATGATATTATGTAATAGTTACAATATATTATTCGTATTGAAGGGCCTCTACGATAGAACCAACACAAACAATGGCACAGGGAATTTAGGGACGCCTCCAATTGTCGCAGCCAAGCTACGAGACGTTGCGGTGCATTAAAACCAGCAATGCAATATAAACTTTATCCTCTACTAGATAAGGGTACATTTCTTTAAAAAAAAACATATACAGCAAACGGCGTCTGCGGCATCGGGATGCGTCGGGCGCACTTTATATAATATAGAACATATGGGCTACTAAATAAAGTATATATTTCTTCTAACAAAAACCAAAGTAGCGCTGCAATTTGGGGCAACCCTCGCCAATGACATCTTTATGATGCCAATGATATTTGCTTTATATTGCCCATGTGTATACATTGTGGGCACCACTTTTCATCAGAAAGACCGTCTTTGTATGTGTGCTGTTTGAATAGGTACCATAAATAAAAAATAAAAAAATATATACAACTGCTTTTAACCTTCGGCGCAAGGTCAACTTAATATACTAATATACTAAAAAAACTAAAATATCACTAATTACCAACGAATTAAACGAATACGATACGCCATTGTTGACAAACAATTGTGCAAAAAGGGAAGACTAATAATTACAGTTTAATTAAATAGTACATTATATGAATTCCAATGAAAACCCACCTTTCCAAAGTGTTAAGTGCATCATTAACTTGTCTATGCGATGTAGCGTTCTCTAAATTCATCAAGGCTTTTGCACTGGAAAAACAAGGGCAGGCAGCACGTAATGCCGCAAGATCTTTACTGGTAGGACGGAGTGAAAGGGGCGCGGGGGGAATAGGCGCATCTCTTAATACACGAGTGCTCCCTTCAAATGCGCACCACCAGCGAACTCTGATGGCTGACCGCCACTCTTCATTCGATAGTAGCCATTCTGTTAAGAGGTAAGATAAATGTAAATAATCATTAAGGGAGAACAGCAAAAACGCAAATTGTTCTGTTCAAAATGCGGGCAATTTTAACAGTTTATTGACTTCAAAACAAGACAAGATTTGTTCTATTTACAGTGAAGTGGGATAGTTTTCATAAAATTTTACAGTGTGTACTGAAAAAGTTGTAAAAAACTGTTTGTGAAAATTTCTTAAAGTGCATCTAAAGGTTTCATAAACAAGTACGAACCCATAGAAGAATGTTCCGCATTACAACTAGTCTTCCAATAACTGTTAACAATAAAGGGTAAATTGGTTCTTTCCGTAACGCTGTGTGGCAACGCCGGTATCCGGCGTCGCGATGCGTCCAGCTCTTGTAGCGCGAATCCAGACCATGCTATTAGAGATAGGATCTGTGATGACATTAAAACCGCTGACTCGTTCGCAGGGAAGACAAGGATCACTGAGAATAAGAAAAACTGTGTTAGTCAACATGATTAAGGCACAAAGGGTTGAAAGGGTTGTAACCCAAACAAGCCGTGACCATGTTCACGGCAGTAAAACAGAAAACTTCAGGTCCACAAATTTATTTCAAGTCTGTTAAGGAAAGAAAAGGTAACAAAGTAAGGCCCAAAAGGGCCGAGATATACTGAATTACAGATAAGTTTTTATAGGTACATAATAAAGGCTGTAGTGATTATAAACTTATTAAATTTGGCTCATGATTTAGATTATATTATAATGACTATAAACTTAGTAAAGGAATCAAAATTAGACGCGATTGAATTTAAATAGCTCCGTACGCTGTCGCGATCGAGCGGGGAGTGACAGTGGAACGAAACAAAATCAAAATGCGAGGCAAAAGAACTATGGTACAATTTAAAATTATATTTAAATACGAGTGGCCAGGCACAGGATAAAGGCGATAAAAAGGTGGGATGACGATGTAAGGAGGTCACACCGTCACAGGGTTCATACTTGCACCAAAAGATTGTGTACCATATGTAGTAAAAAGTTACAAAATGCCCGTAAACTTAGAATAGGATAGCTTTAACAGAGAATACATCATACGCAGCACAAACATTTAAGCAATATGTATGAAACTTTCATAAATTACTACGCATGGCCCGCAAGTACAGTATTTTTTAATAATACCTAAACAAGTCGTGCGCCTGATGGTAAGCTACACGCCTGTCCATAACAGTTGCAGTGCCACTCAGAGTTTTAAATGGCAAAGATCCGTCACTTTGAGATATAAGTTGACACGTCTCATGTGCCTGTAATTTCACCAATACCCTTACCCTTCAAAACCGAAACACAGTAATGCTGACATTACTGTTTGGCGGCAGAAATAGGTGAGGTCGCAGTACTTATCTGCACGAACTCTTTCACAAGGAGCTCTACTAACAGGTTTAACTCTAACAGGTTTTGTAATATTAATCTGATTGAATATCACTATGTTTTACCACCATGACAAGCAATTACTTTTAACGAAATTACACCATTAATTTGTTACAATTAATTAATACAAAGATTAGGTAGGGTATGCTGAAGACGCCAGTTCGAATCCAGCCGAATTGAAGGTTTAATAAGTTATTGTATTGGTTCATTAAGTTCTAAAAATATTACAAAAAAGTAACTGAAAAATATGTTGCAATTGTAAAAATTTTCGTAATAAACATGCTTTAGAATGGTCGACACAACCGCAGAAACCGCAACAATTATCACAAGAACGCCATGTAGAATATTAAAAACATTACGGTCACTACACACGCTGGTAAATGACCTCCATACCAACACCGAAGTGCTTTAAAGTTTATTTTTTGCATTATAATGTAAGTCACGTCGAGTCTAGTACATTCGAGCACATGTACATACTACTGTTGATGACCTTAACATAAAAAAAATAAATAAATAAATAAATTAGTTACTTGATGCTTATTATGTTTAGAATCTATTGAGAGAGTACATTGTTTGTCATTGTTATGTTCGTCATAACCTTCAAAAATCGCATAAAGCCTTTTACTATTGTGAAGGATTATTATTTAGCTCTACAATTTGTGATGAGAAACTGCATAAACTGACGATGACGATAAGAATACTTTACTTAAGTATATAATTAATTATACATTTTATTTGTGATAAATCACTAGATAACTTTTCATTTAATCTACGCTTTAGGAATATTTAAAAAATGCGTTTGTCGAAGTTGGGTACACAACTAAGTTTTAACAGATTTCAAAAAAAGGAGGAGGTTCTCAATTCGACTGTATGTTTTTTTTATGTATGTCCCATGATAACTCACACACATTTGTGAACCGGTTTTGATGATTTTATTGGAAGGAGGATACCTCAGTAGTGGGCCCATTTAAATTTGAAGAGAATATTCCACCTCTAAGGGTGGCAAACTTGGGGATGAATGACTTTTGTACTTCTAAGTCGGTTTTTTAGTACTTTGTACTTAGATTATAGTAAGAAAAATATCATAGTAGGGTGAGGCCAGACGAGTGTAATTTTGTGAGTTGATGATGCTGGGTACATCCACTCTATATGGAATGATTAAAATGTGGGCAGTTTCATGTTCCATAGGAAAATTTATGTGAACGTCCAGATCAAATTGTAAAATATTATCACATGCCAATAAATGTTCCTTCCTTCATCCCTCTCTCCATTCGCACAAGCACGTCACACAATGCGCCAGAAGTTCCGTTGTATTGCGCGCTTGAATCAGCCAACAACTCATTCTGCGTCGTCGTGTGGCACAAAACGGAGTGCAAACCGGATGCAGCATAAATTAAGCAACTAAATAAAACGCCTCACCCTTATGAAAAAACATTTGTACAAAAATAACAAAGTGATGACAGGGTCAACAATTTCTATCATAAAGCTGATTAACTTCATGACTCAAAAAATTTCGAAGAGAATTTGCTATCATTTCGGGAAAAACTTAGTTTGCTAGCTTTCCTTATTCATCAATCTAGATCAGTACTGCTTTATGATAAAAATGGGTACAGTGATGACACCCGCCTATGCAGGCTCTGCATGGACAATAAGGCTTAACATCAGTGGCCTGCCTTCCCTTCTCCTACACGCAAGAAAAATGTAATAATAAATACAATCTAATATTTCGTTCATGGGATTATTGATAGAATATTTACCTCTTAGCAAAAGTGCGGTTAAATCATTTATTTTGGCCAAAGCGTGTCTACTCATGAAACAAACGCTATTTATAATAGACACGCAGCTGATCGCGCATTCGGGGAATGCTAGGTAGTCGTCCACCAACATTGAGATTCTGGAAAATATTGGTAAAATGTATCATCGACTAAATAACAGTAATGTACCAGACAACTGCACGGCGTAATTGATCTCAAATTAGGGAATTCCTTGTACTATAGGTACTAAACCTTTAAAAATTTACTCCAGGGCACTACCTATAACATGCCGCATGCACGCATGCATAACCTGGACCAATTTAGAAAACTTATTTTCCCAAATTGGTTCTACCGGAAAACTAACCCTCATTCAACGCCCACCCTGCAAGCCCTTGAGTCACCGAGGTCGCCATCATATAAATATAATAGCCTCAATTGATGCGTATAGGCGAAAGTGAGACAAAAATCACATTAACCGTCATTAAAAACAATATAGAGTGATCTTTATTGCAGACTTTCAATATTTAGATAGCATTTTTGAAATAAATAAGTGCGCATGTGACCTATATCTCATCTCATGTAACGTGACGACGAGGTTGATGATGGAGCATGTACACCTCATCTATATGAAACCCAAAGATATCTATATCTATGATAATACCTATTCACTCTCGCCTTGAAAAGGCCAAAGTTATAGCGTTCTGCGAATAAGTCTGCAGGCAAGGAATTCTACTCTATAGACGTTCGCCATATAAATATGAAACGTAAACGCTTCGTACGAATCCTTGGAATATCCACAACATAGGGGTTGAACCCCAGCTATATTTAGATATCTAATAAAATAACCTCTGTTGAGTGTGATGGCCATTAACACTCATACAACTCATAACATATTTAAAGACTACCAAGAATATAACACATAACATTTTACACCTGTTTGCACAATGCTCAATAATTTTTTATTTCATTCTTTGTAAATAAATGCAACTAACCGGGGTGTACCCCAACCATAAGTATTATAGATACATTTATTGAACATATAGAAATGTGCCACAGATGTGTTCACTGCACAATCTTATCTACCATTGAGTGTGATATTGTAAAAGATTGCCAAAAAAAAACAATCAATCAATTACCAATGTTTTAGTATCAGATTAGGCAGGACCTACCTTTGCATCAAGCCAACACTTGTGGCTAATTGGTATATTATTAATGATCAAATCCACGAATTAGTAATGACAACACTAACTAGACAACACTATCTGCACGGCATCCAAACTGCTTCCCTTTCAACTGATTTTTTTTGCAAGTGGAATGCAGTCGAATTGCAGATCGTATTATTACAACCCTAGACTTGAACGCGCATCATGTTTTTTTTTAACTAATACTATTTATACTGCTAGCACCAAAATTCAAAGTCAAAACGTAAGGACAGTCTTTGAAATGAACAAACCTTAATATAGCAACAATTATCCTCAATCCGTCACAATTCAAAAAGGTATCATGGAGCTCCACTTGCCGTAGCATCACGGACAATTGCTGTAATGTGCTCCTGCGCAATGAAGGCTCTACAAATGGTACTAAACTTGAACGTGTCAAAAAGTCTTCTCCAAGTTCATCCAGTACTAGATCTTGTTTTAGTACATCAAGTATTTGTATTAGGCCTGTGGTCTGAAAAGTATATATTTTTAAATTACATAAATTATTACTATTGATCACGAACTAAATGATTGTGGAATATTGAGCTGTTTTTTTATGTTTCCGAGAAAAAAATAGTTTTGTTTTCTTTGTATGGCAAAACATACAATTTATTTTTATTTGCAAGTGCAGGAAAGCGTCAAGTGTGTGTCTAGGTTACAGTACAGTTCCAATCATTCTGTACAAAAATATATTGCATACGCAAAGCTCCAGTTAATAAACATTTTTTATAAACTGGAGGAACTGGAACAGTTTATAAACAGTTTTACTTTAAAATAAGCCATAGCTTAGAAAAAAATCATCATTTTTTAATTACTGTTCCCTTTTGAATACAATTTTGTCACTTTACTCACTTTATAAAAAAAACATTATTTGGTAGACCCTGGTCTATTTTTTTTTTTTTTTTTTTTTTATTGCGACTCGACAAAATGACTGCACCGCGCCTGATGGAAAGTGCGAATACAGTCCAGAGATGAGAGTAACGGATGGAAAACACAAATATCTTCACTCCGTCACTATCATTTTGCCGGTCTGGCCAAATGCACTGGATGTACACCAACTGATCCCTGAACGCGATTCGCAAAAGCGTTTCACTGTGGAGGGTTTTCCGCCGTGTGTACTGTGGTCGCTATCCAGTCGGCACAGAGCCTACCACAATGCTAAGCAGATGGACACTTGTGACGCCCTCGGTCGCCTCTTACGACCCCCACGGGCATGTATGGGGAGGCGACAATGTATTCTTAAGCCGTCGCCCCACGGCTGATAACAAGATGACAAGTGTCTATGACAAGATGACTTTTTTATTTGATTGTTACATTTCATTATGCGTTATTTTTTATAACATAATTACCATCCAAAATTAAACCGAGTATTCCCAAGGAGGGTTGACGTCAGGCTGGCGGCCAGTCATTAAACACCTTGCCAAATCCCTTTGCAACATGTAATCAAGGCTGAAGGACAATAGTAACCACGATAGGGCGTACCCCACAGGCGACGCACACACGCAGCACCAGTAGTATGTGGGAAGTCGACTATACAACATTCTCCGAACCAATTTTACTAACTTGACCCGAATATTTTCCCAGCAGTACAACTTTTTATATGCTACTTAATACCTGTGGGTGTTTCGTCACAGGAGTGGAACTGTCGACATTGAAATCCTGTGGCTCCAACCTCCCTAATGCGGTCATCAAAACGTCAGTTCGTAAAGATTCTTTTGGGGGCAAATACCTTTCATCATCTGTAAACAATAATTATATAGAAAGAAGATGGTCAACATTAGGCAACACTAGTGGCCGCCATGTTGCAGATACCTGAACAAAAGTACTTGTAGATGATTTGTAAAAAGGGGAAACCGCAATGAGCAGTAACAAAGTTACCAGGCAAAAGTAAACAGTTTTGGCTTTATTTAACTTGTCATCTACCTATTCAACGTACGTAATTGTTTTTACGATATGTAACATGTGGTAAACACCACACCAATGTACCAACGTGTAATACCATATGTCCGTATTCATATATATATATATATATATATATATATATATATATATATGTTATGTGCTGTGACGTGACGAACAAATCGTGCGCTCGGTGATAAGCGACACGTCTGTCCTTTCGTCCCAACAGTTGCAGTGCCACTCAGTGCTCCAAATCAAAAAGAACTGGGGGTCACCGCCACTGTCCTCGTCACTTTGAGACATAAGTCACAAATGCCTGTAATTTCACCAGCATCCTTACCCTTCAAAACCGAAACGCAGCTCAAATTACTGCTTTTGATGAACTCTTTCACAACGAGCTCTACTTCTACTAAAATATACAGATTAGAAGAATTTAATAAAGGCACTCGATACAATATAGTTAGTACAGTCAGCAACTACAAAAAAGAATCGTAGTTTTTTAATAAATTAATTGGCAACCCTATGCATCTGACGCGTCAAACGTGCCAATAACCTGCGCTACATTTCCGCCTTATTTATAGCGGGAGGGACGAGGTGAGCTGACTTGGAAAACGACTTTGGCCACTCGATAACAAAGAGTCGTGGCGAACAATACCACTGTCTACAATTCAAAATTGAGTACCTGTTATAGTTCGTCTAAGTATAACTACAGTTATTTTGTACTGTTTGAGGTGAACATTTATAGGGATTAAAATTAGGTGAATAAATTTAGACAGTTTTCCATCTATCACAATGCAGGTTAAATGCCAGCTGGACTATAAGTTTGCAGTCACGATGCTATCCGTAAATGCTACATTATATTATTATTCTGCTATATAATATAGCATGTACATGGTCTTACCAAGCAACCTGCATAACAAATGCGCCGCGTCCATTTGTACAGCAGGACATTTGACGAACAGCAATCGCACTAGTCCCATAGTGACCTCGGTCATAGACACGCCCATGCACTCAGCTATGTCGGGTTGAAGAGACTTGCAGATTGCTAGACCTACAAAGTAAAATTGCACCCATAACTAAATAAGACCGATCTGGACAAAAATAACTACGCCCTTTGGATTTCTATTAAGTTATGCGCACTGGGTTCTTACCATAAACTCTTATTACGAATCAGTTTAGGACCTAAAATAAATCGTAGTGAGACAGCGCTACATGAAGTGTATATCACCATCCCGCTTTTTTGTCGTTACGAACCTATACTCAACTGTAATAAGAGTTCATGGTAAGGCCCTTAGTGTTCACTCCTGGCTTTCGCGGTCTACGCACGGGTACTTAAAGGCACTCCTGTCTCTCCGGGGACTCAAAGGCACTCGCGGGCACTCCTGGCTATTGCGGACTCTCAGACGCAGTCGCACGCACGTCTTGCTACCTCGCACATCTCTGGTGGAATCGCAGCCTAATCGAATCTTGAATGTTACATTACAGGCGAATGTTATCGATGAGGGAGCGCCCTTATTCTATATATGAAGCTGAACAAATGTACAAAAACGCACCACCTTAGTAAGAGACAATTTTTTTAACAAACTACGCATTTAAATAGTAATAAGGTTCACGCAAAAATACAGGGATTTACGGTACTTAAAAGGATTCTTTTTATCACTGGCTATAGAAAAAGGTATAACAAGCAATATACTACACGTACATGCTACTAAATTGTATCAATGTTCACAATTAAGCTAAAAAATATGCTTTGTTTTACTAAATATAAATAATAAACCACGATTAAAAATATTTCTCCACGTTTTTGGATAAATATCTTTCTACTGAGTATTTATCCCAATGACCCATCTCTAGGCGGGTACGATTCCCGGTTCAGACAGGTGATTATTTAAAAATCTTTGAATGCAGTTCGAATTGTTTTTAAAATCAAAATGAAGTCTTCTATCAGTAAAATTCTCTATCTACGGTATTTAAGGTACTTTCACTCCGAGTGTCAAACCGTGTGACGCCATGTCTAGTTAAATGTAATAATAGAAAACCGAAAACATCTAAAAATAAAATGTCACGTAAATATTTGGTAGTGCTACACTTGTAAATCTGTATTATTACTTAAGCAATATTTAATCATTATTAGGTAATAATTATTGTTAGTAAATAATTGTGTTAAAATAATAGTCACATTTTCTTTCCATTTTGTGACAACCCTTACATATCTGCGTACCACCTACGTACCACTGTGAAGACAGACACGGGCGGTGGTATCGTCTCACGTAAAATGCGTTGCGCTACTGTAGAGAAGATATTGTAATACTGCGATTGAGCCATAGTGAGTGGGGCATAATTACGTTGATGCGGTATAGTGTCTCTGTTCTTACCTAACTGCGTATCATGAGCAGCATATACTTGCAGCAATGGCAAAACCGGTAGTAGGCTAGCCAGCAGCCGCCACCAACATGCCTCGCTTAGCACCAATCGGCCTCTAAGCAAGTACAGCATTATGTCAGACGCGCTAGCTTCCACCTAAAAAAAAAGCAAGTAAATACAAATGTGCCAAATAATCACGCTTAACTACGTGATACAATCAAATATTTCTTAAACTGTGACCCTGATACACATAGTATCAAAGTTCAGAGAATATTAAAATTGTAAAATTTTTTTGTAGTTTTTTACCCTGTGCCTCGAAACGCGCCGAGTATTCTTTACTAAGTAGTCATGTTGAAAAATCAAGATTAGTCATATTACAATTACCTCTTTCAAAGTAGAACTAAGTCCATGACAGCAGATCTCAGTCAATAATCCAACATCACACAGCAATGTTAGACATTTCTCGTTATCAGTTTGTGTCATTTCGTCTCCAACAAGAACCGATCGGACCATGTCTGCCATCAACCTGTAGAATTTTCCTTGTACCCATTCAATACTATTGGCCATCAAATTCAATGCTATGTGTCGAGATATCGACCAATCTTCATCGTTCATATCAAAATACTTCGTCTTCTTTAGCAAAACAGTACATACATCATTCAAATACGTTTCTCTAAGATGCAACTCTAATACGGGAAGGGAATTCTTGATTAGTATTAATACGGTTTTACTATCCCGGCAACTATTTTTATTCTTCATAAATTGAGCTGCATCGTCCATACTAGCATATAGTTTTTGGAGTTCTCTATATTTCGTTTTATATTCTTGATCTACTTGAGTCCTTGAGTTCTGGAAAAGAAAGCAAATAATGAACCTTGTTTCGTCAAAATACATCCAACCAAAGTGATTACGTAAGTTCTTTATAGTGTAACGTAGAATAACTGTGGTGTAATAAATTGTTAATTTCACACGCAAATAATGCCCACTGACCATTTAAACCATTTATTTCTGACGACGTGAAGGAAGGATAGAGTTTAAAAACCTTCTCACTAACGCGATACTTTAAAAGAAATACATAATTACAATAATTATTTACATACCGCACTACATTGAAAGGTACATTTAAAAACAATTAATTTAATTTCATAGTACAGCATAGACCTATAATTTACCTGTAAACTAGCACTTATTTTCATGCTAAGCTCAGGGTATAACATTTCCAATGCTGGGTCGAGCTGCGCTGACTGTAGGGCGACCACTAAAGTCGAAGGGGGCATGGCGGAGTCCCGAGCCCAGTGCAACAGCCTCTCTGCACAGGCGACTAGGCGCAGCCATGCGACTCGGTAGTGGTTTTTACTTAAATCGTCGAGAAATAACTTTCTAGAAAATTTAATTACATTTGCGTTATGTTCATTTGCAGAACATTTTAACAAATGATTGTTATTTTATAAGAAACAATACATAGACAATACATATCAGTTTCAGAACAAAATGTACAACCAAAAGCAGCCTTATTCCTAAGTAACAATCTGTCAGGCTTAATCCTAATGTAAATTTGGTATATTAATAAAGCACGCTCCACTTTATACTTGTCTCGCCTCTGACAATACAAAGTGTAACTTAGCGTCTCAAAAATAACGTATATTTAACGTAAATCGTCGTCGTCGACGTATCGATACTCGCCATATTCGCTATAGCGAAAAATTTAAAATGCCAGTTTTATCAATTGAATTTAACAACTAAATGTAGCTATAATAGGCATATTGCATAGGCGTTATGCTACGGGCACTGGCGGTTGTCTGACAACAGAACAGGTATAAGTTCGTACCCTTTGTTTCATTATATAGTACATCAAGTTTATCCAGAATACCTAAGCCAAAACCCTTTAGTAAAGTTCATTTTCAAAATTGGTTCTACCGGGAATAGAACCCGGAACCAAGAGTTACGGAATTCACTCCGAGGCACTATCCAGAGCACTATTTCCAAAATTGGTTCTACTGGTAATGAAAACCTTCTCATCCACGCAATATTATTTGCATGTATAATCTACAAATTGCTTAAACACGACCACTCATCCATAAAGTAGATGCAGCAAGAGGTCGAGCTGCGCCGAGCGCACTTTATAGTATGCATTATAATACAGAACATACTATCTACTAAATAAAGTATATATTGCTTCTATCAAAAAAGATTTTGCTTGGCTTTCAAAGAAATATCGACTTTGTTTACTATATTACATTGCATCTACTACGCAATCTGCCTTTCAAAGAAATATACCTTATTGTTGAGAAACTAAGTTACACTTTGTATTGTCAGAGGCGAGACAAGCGAGCGGAGTCGTGCAGCACGGCGCCGCGCGGCTTTTCTTTTGTTTTTTGTTGTTTGAAGAAATGTATACTTTATTAAATAAACAACATGTTCCATAGTATATTGCATTTTATAAAGTGCTCCTCTGCAGACCGCCGCCGCTTGATGCAGCTTCGTTTTCATGTGTTTGTTTAAAGGAATATTGCGTTATATTGTTGAGAATAAACGACGCGCCGCGTCTCCGCAATATGCATCATCGCTAAGATTTATAATGTTATACTATACACTATATACTATATATACCTACTCGTATATCCTAGTATTGTTAAAAAAATCTCCGAAAATATATAGAGTGCCCCTGAAAGATCCGCGACTTTTTTAGACGATGATTTTAGTCCCATTGTTAACAACTTGTAGTATGGGGACTCCTAGAGAGCCCTGTTGATTTTTAAAAATAATGAAAAACGAATTATCTGTTACACACTTAATGTTTAAATCTACATTACTTGACATACTTTTAGGATTTAACTTGAATACATTCCAAAATTATTTGCAAACTATTGCATACACTTACTTGTACTTCATCAAAAGATCGCCTAACAAACGCATGACCATACAGCTCTTATGTGCTATGTCCCTCAAAGTTTTAGATTTGTGCTCTATGCACCAAAATGTATCCTCTATACAGTCCATCAATAGAGAAACCTGATTTTCAACTAAAATCAGGGAAATGTTGATCTCTTTCTGTAAAACAAATAAAAGGAAAAAGTAACAATTATACAGCACTGACTTTATACATCTTTATACAACAAAATGGGGTATTTGAGAATCAAATTATTTGTTATCTTGAACACTATTATTAGTCGCCATATGATCACAATATTTATAAGCACCATTTAAAAAATATTGTTTTAAATTTTATGGCTTGTCTCTACACTGTACAATACTTGCAATTTTCGCTTATATGCATTACATAATCAGCTCGTTGAACAATTTGTAAGGAAAGTATTTTCTTTGGTATAAGGAAAATTCTTCAGCATCACAGTCACATCATAAAAATTCAGGTGCAGTTTTTTTAACACGTTCATGAACAGTACTTAAATGGTACTGCACACAAAAAGTCACTTCTTTTCTGTATGCGCCGTAGTGCTTATATTAATTCAGTATAAAATATTTAATGTAAGTCATTGAATTTGGTCAGTACGTTGTTGATACTTCGCTATGAAGAAGCAGTAGGTGGCAACTACACATAAAATACTTGGAAATTGCACTGAAAAGCCCGTAGCTGACTTCTGAGGTCCATATAGCAAAACGGGGTATCCTGTACTAATCATATTCTGAAATATAAATTCACGGTAAATGCCGTTAGTGCCTATGACAGGTTAATATAGCTTTACACATATGCACACTGCATTAACTTCACAATGTTTTTACTTTTGATGCAACGCGACGCGCTACCTTCGAAGTTGGTGGCTGAAAATCAGAGCTTTGCTTTTAGACAAATTTTGCACTGAGACACGCACCTATTTGACTTGCTGCAGCACACACAAACTATTGATCATTAGGTTAGTATTAATTTCTTGTTGTACTTTTTGATTGTATTTTCTTTGATTTCCGTGTTTCTCTTTTAATCTATTTTGCAGTATTATATTGTTGTGTGTGAGGTATTTGCATCATGCAAGACAATAAACGTTTTAATTATCTATCTATCTTTAAACAAACTCACCAAATTTAAACAGTCACTCAAATTATCTGGTTCGACTAGAGCGACATTCCTAGCCATGATAGTGAGCACAGCGAGTAACGTATCCAGTGCGTATATTGGCGCGGGAATCTGTTTCAACGCTGCTAAGCCATCTTCTTCAATTTGTAAATCATTCGAGCCATCTCGTAGTTGCTCTAGTTCTAAATTCACTCTGTCTGTTGAATCTCGATAGTCTGTTGTGCTCTGGAAAAGACAATATAAATACACTGAAGGATTACAAAAGTATAACTGAATTTAAATTAGTTTAGAACGAAGTCCAAATTCATGGTAAACGATTCATTTATGGGGAACTGCATACGTTTTTACAATAAGATTACAGTGCATATGTTACATTGACTTATAATTATATATGTTAAGATTATTATTTCGTAAGTTTAACACTTATATTAAAATTATTTTAATTAAATAGTCATATTACGAAATTGAGTGTATTCCATAGCATCATTTGAAAAAGCAACCTCCAGAATTTCTTGCTCATTCTTCTCAGGGAAATCAGCACAGTGAATGAGCAGTAGCTTCAAAAATGACGTTTTCACCTCGCTAGGTCGGAAAGATTTTCTTTCTCATTACAAATCTGCGCGTCTAAAAAACACACACGTCTAAAAACCGTCTTTTCCATGCTAGCGTGGAAAAAGATTTTGAAATTCGAAGTTACGATGGACTATGGTGCACCTAACTTTTTCTTTCGACACGTTCAAATTCGTACATTATTTATGTAATATACATCCATTGAGATATATGTTATTCTTGTTATTGTTGACATTAAATTGACAACGATAACTAACTTTGTTCATTAAATTATTTTTTGATGTATGAATGAATAAAACTGATTTGTTAAAGTTCAACTGTTTAAATTTGACTTTGTTTCATATGGTTCCATTTTCTTAAACAATACATTTATATAGACTTACCTTAACAGCTTCATGAATTAACTCTAAACTAGAAAGCTGTAAAATGCGCGCTCGCAATGCTTGTGTAATGCTCAGAAGAACCTGCAAAGCTTCTTCTGGACGACCAGTGTTCCCGCCGTCTGCTATTGTTATTAGACTCTGGAACACCGACAATAAAAATTTCGCAATAAATATTAATATTATGAGATCATAAATAAGTTCATCTCGGTAGATGTAAAATTTTCTTATTCAATCATCTTATTCGAAAACAAATTTAGAAATTAGATAATTCTCCCAAAACTGAGCTTATGACCAATATGTGAAATAGTTGCAAAACCAAGCATGCAACACAAAACAGAGATGTAAAAAAAATTACTTAACAAAGCAGTAAATCATATTTATAATAAATATTGTAGTTATTATGAGCTTTTTTATAAGATCCAGATTGTCGCCATGACGCGGAATTTTATAGACCTAATTTCCTCTACCAATAAATACTTAACTTTGGTTAAAAAAATATTTCAGTGGTCTAAAATATCTTATTATTATTTAATGCAAAAGAATTTCACTCACCTTCACAATAGCTGGTCTATTCAAAAATATTTCCGCAGGGAAGTCTCGCAAGAAGACATCCCTAATAAATCTGCAACATCTACGGGTTGACTTGAGAAGTTTTAGGGCATCTTCAACCAACAGCATAGTTTTGGAGTCAGAAACACACAGATCAACCCAAGGGAAGAGTAGTACTTTCACACCGTCTGTAGACTGACACCTGATACAGAAGGAATAATATTTTATACCTATAGTAATTAGTTTAGTACTGCCTAGCTTACAACAGAAAATTAAGGTGATGAACTTGCATCCCTTCATCAGTCATCTTAATTGTATCAACATATTAGGCTGTTCTCACACAGTGACAGCAGTCGTGAACAGACTTAGTTCGACTAAATGTCGTAAGTCCCTTGATTGACGTTATAAAAGGTAAAAGATATTATGTGCAATCTACAGAAATCAAATACTCTACATGAAGCAAATAAATTATAGTGGCGGGATTCTTTGCTTCTGACTTACACTTTCTTCTGATTATATTTGCCTCCTTGCAATTATAATTTTTACAAACTGCATAAAAAAACGATATATAGAAACCTGGATCCTGCAGGCAAGAAAAGAAAGCTAATTTATATTTATACACATACATACATTTAATAAATGCACAATACTAAAACAATGTTTGCAATTAAAGCTATATAATCTGACTGTAACAAATATCAAAACTCACAGTACAGCAGATTTCTTGTAGTTCTAGAGAGACATCTAAGACTTACTTCCATTAGCAGCAAAAATGTTCCTTAAAACAGTAAACTTACGTATTACGTCTATTGGCTTCAATGTCATTATTTGATTCTGATGGCTCCTTAGAAGACTGGAAATTAGGGCCTAAATTATAGTAACCACTACTGGAGCTCCCTTCGCTTTCTGAACTAAAAGAAGAGAATTACACTTCAATATTATTATAAAAACTATAATTTTGTTGTAACTTATACAAGTAACTCTTTTCTTTGAAATGAACATAATATTTTCTGTATTTGTACAATATATAAAGTATGGTGTATGGGAAATGTAAAGAGTGAAAACCCACTGAAGAATTATAAGCAGAGATAATATGACAACCCATTTACAATATATACACAAATCTTCTCTAACTCAGATTTCCTTACATTATTTTTCTAACAGAAGAAAAGAATTAGTGAAATAATTTTTTGACTAATAATAAAATTACCTTCCAAGAGACTGCAGTGATAGTTGAGGAACAATGCTAATCTCCGATTCAATAGTACTCAAGAATCGCAGTGTATCTATTACATCATAGTATGTTTCCATTGCCTCTGGTACAATCTTCATTTTTGCTTTATCCAAGGTCAACAGTATCTCCTTTATTCCCAATTCTTTCGCTATGTAATTGCCTGATTTAGTCTAAAATGAAAACTGTAGTGAGTATACAATGCCTTTATATCCAACTACACTATAGGTCAGTTACTATAGGATGGAATTTGAGAGCTCCTAGTCATTCCATCCAAGTAGGGTGATGGCACTAATGATTGACAATTTAAAGGAAGTGTGTTTGTAAATTTGAAATAACTCTTTTTTTAAACATATATCAATAGTGATTAGTTTACTTGACAGATATAATCCTCGCAAAAGAGTATGCTGTGTTAAATATTAATGTAAAAAATTTTTTTGTTAATTTATCAACAATTAGACATTTTCCTACAGCTAATCTATAGTATTACATATATACACTATTGTAATCTCATTCACAACAAAATTTAGTGCATTCAGAATGCAGCTGTGCAAAATAACAAAAAATATATACCTACTATTTTGGTTTAGTTTATTATAATTGAAAAGCAGCAATATAAATAAACATAAAATTTTATACAAATACAACATCCAATAAAAATAAAATTACAATTATCTTCCAAAAAAAAATGTCTACGCTGTACAATTTACTATCTAATAAAAGGAAAAAAAGAGAAAAAAAAATGAATAAAAAAGGAACAATATAACAATGGCATTATCTTAAAAAAGCTTGAAAATAGCTTGCACCACTAACTTTGATAGTTAGAAGAAGCAAAGTAAGGGCTTCTTGTTGCAAAGTCGGCTCATGAGCGTGGAACCAAGCAAGGAGTGACTCCAAAAGTTTGCGTGTATTTGCTAATTCATCCTCGAATTCCCAGCCTAATTGTAACTTTGCAAGAAGCAACTGCAAAGACCGTTCGCGGATTTCCTTCAACGGATGACCTAAAACACAGGCAACAGTAATTATTTTAGTTAAAACTTATGACCACAAACAGTTATTTTCATAAGTATATAACTCCACTTACTGAGTTTCTTTATGTAACTAGACAAAACTTCAGTAGAACACATCTTACATATATATCGGAATATCAGCTAAATGTGATATTATTTAAATATTTAGAAAATAAATTAACATAAACCATTCTCATTAAATTGCTATTATTTTTTTAAAACTGACGGTACAGTATGAAATTGACATTTGTACATAATGTTACCACAAATAAAAGCAAAATAAGGGAAAATGGTATTTTATAGGGCAAACACTAAACTGTTACAAATTGTAGTGATTCGCTCTGGGCCTTTTGGAAGGAAAAGTGTCGTTTTTATTTTGACTTTCAATTATTTTGTGAAATCTAGTTTAAAGTGGAATATGATAGTGCCTTAATCGAAGATTAAAACGCGAAATTATACGAATCTCGAACTAAAATACCCGTATCGGCCCGTCCCGAGTCAATCCAAGCACGCCGCCTCAAATTGCCTATTCTCTTTGTGGTGGCCATATTTACAGAAATATAATTAAACGTTTATGTTTTCGGCTGAAGGACTTTGTTTCCATGATCAGCAATAATTAAAAAAAAAAAAAAAAAAAAAAAACAAGTATTAGTTATCACCAAATTAGGGACGATTCGATACAAGTAAATGCGACAAGTAAGTACTCGATACTTTTGTTTCGATACCGAGTACTATTAGTATCGATTCCCCTCTTTCTATTTTTACTGGATATCGGAAGAAAAATACTAGTATCGAATCAAAACGCGCTCGCGTAAATATTTAACCTTAATCCCACTTCCACTGCCGCTATTATAAAATCTAAAGTATGGACATTTTTACATCTCCTAAAAAAGTATCAATACTTTTAAAGTACTCATATAATTAGCATCGCATGACGAATTGATTACTATTATTTGAGTAGGTATCGATACTTTCGTGGTATCGGAACACCCCTACACCAAATTTGACACTTGTCATCGTGACGCCAACAGGGATGTGGATAATCTTGGCGCAATCGCCATTTTTTTTTTGTATAATTTTTATAATAATATTAAACTACCGTACATAGTTATTTTTACTTGACATTGGCAAAATCATTGATTATTTCGATGGAGCCATAACATTTAAAAGAAGAAGAAGAAGTATATCGGTAATCACATTATACGATTTTTACGAGAAATCGATTCAAAATTTTAAGAGTTATTAATTGTTTAGATTATTTTTCGGTTCATTGTTGTTCAGGGGGCCTAAAAGGTCAAATCGTGCAAGTTTGTTAAAAGCAATTCATTTACAGAATTCCTTGCAATTTCGTAGCAATCCCTGTCATTTTCGTAAAATTATCCCACTTTCTGATGAATTGTATCCAATTCTTTAAATTAAATTTTATAACATTCATAAATGTGTGTAACGACACTTTTCCTCCAAAAGGTCCAGAGCGAATCCCGTCATTTTCCCCGTCTTGAAAAAAAATCAGATTTACTCTTTGGCCAAAATAAGGTGTCAAAAGATTCGCTCTGGACCTTTTGGAGGGAAAAGTGTCGTTTTTTATTTTGACTTCCAATTATTTTGTGAAATCTAGTTTAAAGTGGAATAGGATAGTGCTATTGTGCCTTAATCGAAGATTAAAACGCGAAATTATACGAATCTCGAACTAAAATACCCGTATCGGCCCGTTTTAAGGAATCCTGAGTCAATCCAAGCACGCCGCCTCAAATTGCCTATCCTCTTTGTGGCGGCCATATTTACAGAAACATATTTAAACTTCATGTTTAGGCTGATGGCTTTGCCAAAGCCTTAATAAATTAAAAAAAAAAAGGTGTCAAAATCGGTGGCGGAATCGAAAACAAGTGTTATCTGAGTAAAAATAACCAAATTATTACATTTTTTTAAATGAACTTTCGCAAGCATCGTAAGTACTTATTTTGGTTCATATCAAAATATTGTAGTCAAATGTATGTAAACCAAAGTGTAATTCCTAGCTATGTAGTGTTACTCTCTTTACAGATGGCTGATGTCAAAACGTTGTTGAAAGAAGCTAGGAAACTTATCGACGAGAAGAACTATAGCGAAGCTCAAGAATGCTGCAAGAACATTTTACGCAATGATAAAAAGAATTACTTTGCACTAGTCCTGCTTGGAAAATCTCTTCAAGATTCTGAACAAGCACCCCTCGCATACCAAAAAGCAATATCCACAAAACCAGACCATCCTCTAGCATGGCATGGTCTTGCCAACTATTATGAAAGGAACAACGACGACTTTCTGAAAGTAAAATTATTTTCTATTTATGATGAAATATTGAAATTACAAATTGAGGAAGATAAGGTCCTTGAAATAATTGATAAGCTGGGACAACTTGGATGTTCCCTCAAAAATAATGAGTCCATCAGCATTTTAACTAGATACTTAAATAAGGAACTCGATACTAAATTTGGAGAAGCAGCTAAGAGACAATTACTTGAACTCCTGAATGCAGATATCTCTGTAAAAGAGAATGAAATACCATTAGTTCTTGATATTTTATCTAAAATATGGATAAAGGACCCAAGTGATTCTTTGGAAGTTCTTCAAGGCAAAATTATTTTAAAGAAACATGACTTTACCTCTGCCGTTGAGGAAGTAATGAATCTTAACTTCTTTCCAACCAATGTACAGTTGCGAGAATATCTTTGCAAATTTCTCTGTAAGAAATTTGTTGAAAATGATTCATTCTGTAATTTTGCAATTGAAAATCATGTAGACAAGATAACTGAGGGTATTGAAAACTCAAAATACCCAAATTTGTTAAGAAGTATAATTTATTATAACAATGGACAATATTTGGAAGCTTACAAAGAATGTGTGCCATTAATAAACTACCATGAAGCTGATGTCACAGAAGCTACCTTTGTAATAAAGTGTACAATCATGTTAAAAAAATGGTCACTTACACAAAAACTTGCTTCAAACTTTTTAACCAAAGCAAAAAATTCCACATTTGCTATTGAATTAAAAAAGTTTTTATTTCAGTCACTAGCTCGTCAACAAAAATGGAGACAAGCAATATTAGTAACAAAAGACATACCATTACAATGTCTAAATGTTAGTGAACAAGCATTGCTTACAGAATGTTACATTGAACTAAACGAGCCTGTTGATCATTTAATGAAGAAGTTAGAAAGAACTGAATATTACACTCAACTGCAATCTTTGCTCCTACTAAAACAAGAAAAGTACAATGAAGTAGTAACTCTTTTAGAATCTTCAAAAGAGAATATGCTAAATTTGTTCCATTTAGGTAGAGCATATTGGGAACTTAAACAATATGACAAATGTCTACTGAACCTTCTAAAAGCTGCCAAAATAAACCCCGATCATGGTAATACATTTTTGTATTTAGGACATTTTTACCATTATTATAAACAGGATTTAGAAAAAGCTAAGAAATGTTATGAAAAGGCTTACAGCCTTGATAGCATTGACACTGTCATTATCAAATGTTTAAGTGAAATATATACTAAATTGAAGCTTAAAGATGCAGACTTTGAACTGTTGAATGCAGCTCAAAAATATGTAGAAGGTAACATAACCTGGGTCAGCTTCAGATTGGGTCTGCATTATCTAAACAGAAGAGATTGGGAAAATGCAATCATAAATTTTAGAAATGTTATCAAAAATGAACAAAATAACACCACTGCATTTGAGTGTCTTGCTGATGCTTACTACTCCAGAGGCTCTTTCACGTCTGCACTTAGAGCATACAAGAAGGTGATGCTTTTAGATCCTGGTAAGACATCTCATTGCCTCACAAGAACTGGGTACATTCACAACTTGCTTACTCAGTATGAAGATGCTATAAGAACTTTTGAGAATGTTTTTCTTATAGAGCCGCACTCTATTTTGGCTCTAAAGGGTATTGCAGAAACTTGGATGAGAATTGCAAAGAAAAAAGAAACTGCTAAATTGTATGGAAGTGCTAAAGACTGTGCACAGCAAGCTATTAATTACATTACCAAAGCATTATCCAAACAAAAGCAGTTTTTATGTTTGTGGAAGCTGCTTGCAGATAGTTTAATTTTCATCACTAAATTGCCCAACAAATATTGCCATGTATTTATCAAGGACTCATTCAATGACGCCAATCAGGAGCTAATAAAGAAAGGGAAGCTTGATATTTTTCCACAAGCTATTGCTTGTTATTCTTATATTGCAAAACAGAAACAGCAATTGGCGTCATATGATCTCGCATCAGCCTATTTGGACTACTATCATGAAACTAAAACAATTGTAAACTGTAATATATCTTTCAACTTGGCCATTACTTGCATTAAAGAAAAACCATCTTCTTGGCGTAACTGGAATCTACTTGGCAAAATATGCTTATTCGTAAAGAAATATGATCTTGCTCAGCATTGTTTTATAAAAGCTCTTTTGGTTACTCGAAAATGGTGTGTAGCTAAGATTTGGTGCAATTTAGGGACACTATACCTAAAGCTGAAACTATTCAAATTAGCCAACTACTGCTTTTGGCGTGGTCAGTCGACATTACCGTCGTACCCACAAAGTTGGATAGGACAAGGCCTAATAGCAGAAGAAATAAGGGAAGAAGAAGCTATGGATCTATTTAGACATGCATCTCGTCTTGGTTACCACCCAGAAAACGCTCTTGGCTATGCAGATTGGGTCTGCCGTACTTTGAAAAACCTTAACTACAAAGAAGACCCAGAATTCAAATATGTGATAGAAGGCCTTTACGCCATCCCTTATGCTATGGACCTAATGGAATGGTACTTGAACTTTAATCCAACAGATGCATGTGCTTGCGTTATTATTGGTATTTTACAAGAAAGAAGTGGACTTTTGCGTGCCGCACTTGTGTCATACGGAAAGGCATTACAATATGCGGAAGATGACAGTAAAAAGAATGTTGCTCTGCTAAATATTGGACGAATTTTGGTCAGGCTAAATAAATATGAAGACGCGATCAAGACTTTTAAGGCTATTACAGAAGCTAGTTTAAATTCTGCTAGTGGCCTGGCGTTAGCACTCTTTAAGAAAGGGCTCTATGAAGAGTCTTATACAGCTTACGACACTGCTTTGCACTGGTTAAGTAATGACGATGATGAGAAAGCAGATTTACTTGTAGCTATGGCAGGCATTGTTTACATGTTTAAAGGAGCCGATGATGCAAAGACAATGCTATTTCACAGCATTCAAATATCGCAGAAGAAACCTACTGCTTATAGTTTGTTCGCAATTTGCTCTCTTGGATTAATTCACTTTGATCAAAGTTTATTCAAGTTGGCCCTTAGTGAGTTACAGAAATACGAAAAAGATAGTAATTATGGATTCGATATTGGATTTTTAAGGTCGTACATGTCTGTCTGCCAGGAGAATGTAGAAGAAGCAATAAAGCTATTGAGTGAATCACTTCATGATCACCCAAGTAATGCTCTTTTATGGTACTGCATGGCCCAGTACTGCCTCAGAGCATCGAACACGAGAGCTAAGGTGGCAAGTTGTTGTGCTCAGAGAGCTATATGCTCTGCTCGCTACGATGAGTGTAACTGTGAGCCTTCTAAAATGATTGCCACAGCCAGTATCGCTGAACATATAGCAGGAAATCACGTCAAAGCGTTGATGTTAGCTAAAGAGGGTTTGCATGTGTATCCATGCCGAGCTGAAATATGGGCAGCACTTTTATTTTCTTTGGTAACACATAAGTCATGGTCAGACAAGAGTGAATGGATTGTCTGTGCTGCAAGTTATATGCGTCGGCATCTCGAAATATCACGACCATTGAGTAGATGGGTCGGTCTTTTGGAAAAGAAACTTCAGAAATAAGGAAATCATGGTGCTATTGTATAAGTCTTTATATTTTTATTTCAAAGTATGATTTGTTTTATGCTTTATGTATTGAATAGTGATTCAAAATGAACTCAGTACAACACATTTCAGACTATTACTATGTTTTCATTATAATTATCTGGAATTCTTCTGAACACAGCTAAATATTTGTCTCCATTGTTCCTTGTTACCTTTTGCCCTTCCTCAGTGCTTTCATAAAGTTTTTCTACAATTGGATCTGTTTTCTGAAATAAATTGAAGCTTTAAAAAATTTAATACTTATATACCTGGTTTGATTATTTACATAGTTCCTATATGGAGAACCAAGACAGAGAACAAATAAGTAATGAGAACGGACACTCCGCCCATCCCTAGCTTTAGATGCCGCACCACGCCCCGCACATTGACGGTCACATTAACTGAACTAGAAGGCTGTCGGGCGGCGAGCCGTTTTCGCTCTAAGACGGCTACGGCTTTGATATTTGAATATAGTTTTCATTACGAAATTTGTACGTTAATATATAACAACATTTTAAGTTACTATTTATAATGGTCGTGAATTGTGCTATGTGCGGTTGTTTATAATTATCTAAACGGGATAAAGAGTTTTTTGAAAGATGAAACGAAGTACGTGAAAAAACTTATAGCTGAGATTCATTCAGTTATTGTTTTCTTTAATGCAGATATATAATACAGATTTATAATATCAATATAATAAGGCGCCATGACTTCGTGAGCTAGAGAAAGGTTATCGAATTTTCAATTTGTATTGCTGATAAAATATTACGTAGTGAATATACCTAATTATTAAGTAGGTAATGATAAACTTGGACACGCAATTTCAAATATTTTGGTTACCTTATTTAAAGGTACCTGTGCAAAATATAACATTTTAAGTGATTTTAATTTTTAAAATAAATCTTCAATATGATTCCAGTTAGTGAATTAATGAAAAATATAATATTATATTGATATAAATACGTAATGAACATGTGTAATTATTAGGATTCTATAATTGAATTATAGATAACAGATTGCCGCTCTGACCACGTAACGTAATAAATAGTACGAGCAAGTGATAGGTAACCTTTTTTTTAACCCCGCCACTTCACGCTCACATTTGCGCGTGTGCAGATAGCGCAGCGCCTCTCTGTATGTAGTAGTAGTAGTAAATCATTTTCGACCGTTGTATGGAGTGTCCGGGGTGTGACCAAGCACAAATCCAAATCATTGTCTTGCAAAGATTTCTCTATTTTAATGCTGGCAGGGTGATAATGGATTAAATAAAAAATATAATACCTATTGTAAATAACAAGAAATTTGATTGAAAAAGATGATTGTCACTTAATTACTTTATTACATTGATACTGAAAATTTAATTGGAATAGAAACATAGATGTAGAAATATGAAACAAATTACACACACACACATACTTGAACACAAGTTAACACCTACACATACAATCATACCTCATCATACGTACACAAAAACATGTGCACAAAGACACATGCAACTGTTATAAATACATGTTCCCTTAGTTACTTTTATTTATAGTATGGCTTAACATTTTTACATTTTTTATACACCAATTTTGTTAGAATTGTTGTATAAAAACTACTACTACTCCGTGTACTGTGCCATGTAATATGTGTGTGCTCCGTACAATACAAATTAAACAATTTAAAGCAGTACAAAACAGCTTGTTTAAATAATTCATCAGCAACTACAGTCCACGCTCCCAACAAATGGCATTAAGTTTGAGTTGGGGAGACTGAAAGCCTAAGTAAGACACAGATCTCTAACTATAAATAAACAATTTTAAATAGAATTTTATACCAAAACTTCTTCAGGAATTCTTTCAAATAAGGGGTGTTCTTCAAAATGTGTAACCATCCATTCATTTAAATCTTTGACATCTGTGATTGTGTACACAATAGCCTAAAATTAAACAATTGTATGAAAGTACAATTTATACCACAAAAAGTGTTATATTATCATCCTTTTATGAGGAGACATTAAAATGGCAAGCTCACCTGTTCTGCAAGTACATAAGCATATTCTGAAAGCAGCCACTTGTTAATTATTCTCCACTTATGCTTAGCCTTCTTGAAATGTGGATCTGGATACAAGAAGAACATTCTCTTAAGCTGCAAACCCAAAATACAAGGATTGAATTATTATTATTACGCTGTACAAGTTATAACTCAAAAATATATTTATTTTAGAAAAACCACGTCACATGAACAGAAGTGAGTTACTAGAAACTACATAAAAAACCTTGTGACTGCAGTAATATGTATGGATACGTATAAGCATAAGAATAATAAGGGTACAATTTTTTTTTCTTGAACTAAACATTGGTGTCATTTACCATAATTTTTATATTATTTTTATAAAACTACTGTACATAGTCACTTTTGGTCCTGACATTAGCAAAATCATAGTTTTATAAAAAAAATTAGAATTGGAAGAGTAACATTACCTGTCCCTTGTGAAAGAAATTGGGTAAATATTTCATAGCATTAGTCCTTAGTACAGCAATATTCTGATACTGATCTGGATTCTGAACACGAAGAGCATTGATCCTGTCATTGACGTAATCCGACACCTTTACACGAATCTCCAGACCGAGTATTAAGTTTTTTGGGAACATTGGGGATAAAGTGACTAAAAATTGTAAAAGTAAGTCTTGGATTATTATAATTCACAAATAAATATTATAATTTGAGACATAGGGACGTGCCAGCTGTTATTACTCTAAAATGCACATCATGCATGCATGGCCCTTAAATCTGGACACATTTTAAGTACCTATCTACTGTTTAGTAGTACAAACTTCGTGTTTATTTATAGTTGTATGAAAAAGCATACTAAGCATTTTCAAATGTGCAGAGATTTTTATTCTGAGTTGAAGTTCTTCATAATGTCATTTCTTACCCAAAAGTCCTCCATAACCACAACCCACATCTAAAAAATCTACAGATTTAGAAACTGTGTCGTTTTCTATTGGATATAACGTGGACCAGTCATATTCGTCTGGATGAGCAGGACTGAAAAAAAGTAATAAATTTTTTTGATAAAATAAGGGAAGACTATGTTTTTATTCAATTTGGCAAAGTTTAGAATTTATCATAGCTAGAAATGCAGCTGATACAGAGGTTTAGATTAACTTTTAGTGGAAGAACTTACTATTCAAAACAATGATCAGCTATTGGGTTAGAATGGGCGCGTTGCCTGTAATACTTCTTTTGTGGAAGCGCCGCCATAATCTTTTAATATATTTCACTTACACCAATAGTAAAGTGGCAAATGAAATTAAATCCCAAAAATTTTAACATTCGTTTGTCGACACTGACATACCATGGTCCACGTGGTTTTTGACATTACAATGACAGCTAAAAAAATACAAAAATAATAGTAGGTAGCGTTGCAACTACCGCCATACAACTTGGGCCTAAAGATGCTCAAGCACATAATTTTGAATAAAAAAATTACGGCGAATTCATAACAAAATAAAATAGAATTTATTAATCACTTGTAGGTAGTTAGTTGTCCTTAGGCTTATAAAATAAATAAATCGAACGCTATTCAGTGACAGCTGTCAAATTATGACAATCACGTTTCGTCGAACGCAGTATCGTTTATTCTTATAATTTTAGAATTACATTTTTCAGCAATTTCTTTTAAAATTAAAAGGATTTCAGTTAATGGTTATTGTTTTATAATTTTAGGTATTTTTGAGATAACTTGTACCTCAGTACACAATTGGGAAATGAAGGGATCCTTTGGGAAACTTTTGTTCTAACCAATAAAATAAAAGGGCTTATACTTACGCTCGTTTTAGATGGTACTCTTGTTGTGGTTAAGGTTTGCTAGCGCAATAATCGTTCCACTTTTTCTCATACAGTGCTCATACGATTTGTGACGGCCGTCGAGTTTTAATAATTACAACGGTTCTATTCTTATCTATAGATTTTAATGGCAAAAATAATGAATTTTATTTAAATTATGACTAACGAATAGTAGGTATAACAGTGAATTATTGATTTTTGTACTAATTATGACGTGAGTGGACAACTTTCCAACTAGCAGCCCTTGATTGAATCTATAGAGTAAGTAAAACACTTTGTTTGCGTAGATTAAAAAACATTACCGTTTGTATTTTCATGTATCAACCTTTTATCTTTGTAATAATTGCGGCTTTCTCCCTTCAATGGCTTCACATGGTTAAACATGATTCATCAATTTTCTGCTGCAAATATTTAAAAAAATTGCTCACTGCTGCTGTGGGTAAATAATGGTGCCAATGCTTTTTGTTCAAAATTATAACAGTTTTTTTCATTTTATAATAGTCAATATTTAGTCAGTCTCGACATTAGTGTTCTTTAAAGTTACCTACAATTATAAAATTATAATTAAAGTTACTACAATTTTATCAAATATTGTTGTATGTATAATTTACCTATAATACATACCTATGTATGATTAATTTCAAAAGGGATTGAAATAACTATAATTCTTAATAGTCTTGTAGGTATTTCTAGAATGTATTGATTGTCTATTACAGGCATGCCAGCATTAGCATTGTAAATGGTTAGGTAGTACAAGATTAATTAGAACTAATTTCTTAATAAATTATGTAATATACACAAACAAAGCCCGCATAGCAATGTTGTTACAGGCTGTGTGTTCTTTGTCATAGTGTTTGGGAACATGTTCCTTCTAATTATTAGCAATCTATAAAACTCTTTATATTACTATGTTGTTACATAATGGGAAATAGTGTTCTATTTCCCAGTACAAAGTTTATTCTTCACCATGATTGTTGTATTTAGTAAGATAAATAATTATCTTTTAATAAACAGTATGTTTTACTGTCTACAGTGAAGATAAATAACTGTGCAAAGGGTGAAGCACAAATCATATTTTACACAATATGTTATTCATTAAAATGCTAAATAAAGTGTGGTACCTATTAATGATAACATAAGATAAACTATGTTTTGTTGAATTATATATTAAGCTTTGTTTTCATCAAGGGAATAGATAATAAATGATTTGTACACTATTGTTCAGTAGTTTTGATGCAGCATCAATTCAAAATGTAATAAAATACTGAAAATTTTGAAAATTTGGTTCTTATTGCACTAAGCAAATATAAAGTATGTTGAAATAATCAACAATAATTAGTAATAATGCTAAACATTTACTGAATAGAGCATCTCACTCAACCCATAAGGTATCCAATAAAATGTGCATTCGCCTCTCTCTTATGTGCCCAATATTTCAATTAGGAAATAATGTATATGTATATTATAAGGGATTATCCACAAAAACAATACCATTTGCTAAAACTACCTACCAGAGAACATACTCACTTTTCCATTCCATTTCATTACATTCAATTTACATGGGTAGGACATTTGATATTTTGTGGTTTGTTGATTGTCCGTTGTTGTTAGGCTGAGTCTGCATTGAGCTGTATTTGAAATCACAATGTTATTAGTAACCGGTGGGAGCAACGGTGATTGTTTTGACGTGCGGTCCACGTGCGCTAGGCCGGGTGCTTCACCCGCCAACGCGCCGCAGTCTATCGCTGGCGCCGCTCGCGCCACACGTCTCACGCGTTCAAAACATCGTCACTCGCGAAATGTTATCAATCTCATCAACAACTGAGGTGTCATTTAAGTTTCCAACTGTGTTGTAATTTATCGTTCTGGCTTCACCATGAAGAAACACGACTCCGAATGTAATTTGGATCGGGGTGCCCGTGGGCAAAGACCTGCGAGGTTGCTTACGGACAGCATTTCCTCCGAAGAAAGTCCGGACACGGAGCGTCTTCTAGTGTCTCAACTGTCAGCTGCAGTGGTGGCGGCAGCTAGTGGCCGCCGACAGTCCCTGACTGCGCCGCCTTCACCAACAGATTCACGCAAGAAGCACCATCATCGTCACCATAATTATATGAATCATTTACAACAACTCATCCATTGGAGAGACATCTGGGGAGAACCTCATAAAGGCCAAGAGGTAACCTCAGTAAGGTTAATGATCTGCAGTAAATGCTAAAGTCGGTGTCGAATAACACGTTTTTTTAACTTTTTTGCTGTGAGGCGTTAGTTTTTGTGCACGATATTTGTGTATCTACTCTTCTATTCTATTATATCTTACGGTCTAGATTGTTGCGTGTCTATTGTATATTACATCTTTTCCGATGTCATTACTATATAACATATTTTATTTGGCGTTAGTGTATTTACTCGTCAAAGTCGTTCCATTCATCCATTTTACTATTTACTCAACTGGACATTTTTTTTAATTTAAAGATGTTATTCAACTTTTCGAGAATTGTAGGAGCAATACCTACAACGTCGTTTGTAATTGGATGTGCGTGTCGTGCAGTATTTCATCCGCTGCAGTAATGAAACACCAACGGCCAACCTATTGTCACAAAGAACACGCACCTGCCTGTAAATTATGTCAATATCTGAGCGTATTGAATGCGTCCTTGATATTATACACGACTAAACAACTCTTTTTGTAATTCAATAATTTTTTATTAAACAATAATAAGTAGACGTAGTAGAAGTAAGTAGAAGTAGAGAGAGCCAGTAGCATGTATTACAAAAAAGTTCAAGCTCAGCCTTATTTTCAATAACAAGATTGAAAGGTCATATAAATCGTAAAATATTTTATCTGAGCAACTTTACATAAACGCTTAAAGCAAACACTCAACAAATAATTAATACTTACGTACAATTATGTCACCTGAATTTATCACCAGAGAATATTTTTCTCGTCGACAACGCTTTGTTTCATAGGGACGCGAACACACTTTTATAAGTACTGAAAAGTATGTCACATAGATACTGCCAGTTCACATCTACTGCCAGGCGATTGTATGGCCGATTAACGACATATTTTTACGAGAAATTTCATTTGACTAACGTTAAACGACAGTCGATAATAGACTTGTATTATTGCCCCCGTATGTGAGGCATTTCATGTGGTTCAATTGTGGCGACATCGCTTCAGACGCCTGCGTAAGCGCTCTGAGTCTAACCGATAAATTACCAGGAACGAGCCGCGTGCACTCAATCTCATTCCGACAATTTAAAAGTCAGTTTGACGAGACCACTCGTCATTTAGACAACACAAAGTACCTTACACTGTTATTTATAACGATTTCAAAAACAATGCCGACTATTTGCGCGAAGGATATGACATTGCATTATATACCGAAATTCAAACTGCCTCCGTGACTGAACGGTTACCCTGCTGGTTTGTCAGGCAGACGTCTCGGGTTCGGTTACCGGGCCGGAAGAAATATTTGAAAGGCCTACATATATTTCTCTTGTGAGTTTGGGTGTAGTTTGTGACGCGACACAGTGTTTCTCTAATGCGGAGCTATGATTGTGCGTTATTAAGGTTGATGAACATCGAGATCTTTAACCTTTCCTTATTCTTTTTGTTTTTCATCGTTCGTTTAGAAGCTTCAAGTGTCTGCCTATTTTTTGTTCCTTTCCGCAAAGAACTACTGGTTTATCAAAAATGTGCCGATGATGTCATAAAGTAATGTTTTCAACTTGTTAGCGGTTTCATTTGCCATTATACATATTCGACTTGCTATTCCAATTAAATTTTAAAATGAGAAATATATTTATTGATGTTTGCATAACAACTTCATATGTGTTTCGGACCTCGAAATGTGACCGACATTAAATGTGCCTTCATATAATCCTCGAATGGATAATGTAATATTATTCGTTAACAATTACGGTTTGCAACATCGCAGCTACAATACCTGTGGCAAGCATCTGTTTAATTCTTCATAGTGGTCATCTAATTTCTCCGACTTCCTTCGTCACGTAATTTCTTGTCGTGCTGCATTTGATATCAGTTACTAACTAAATAGATACTGTCACAATATTGAGCTACCCCGCCTGCTTACCGTGCCAAACGGTATATATTGGCACCATTTGTTACGATTGATATATTGTATTTCGATTGTCAAGCAATCGGATCGCTAAATGTTTTGTTTGAACTTCATTGTAATTAGTTATGCTAATTCACACTTCAAATATTGTACTTGACCTTATTAAGTCGTTATGCATGGTATTTTTTTATATTTACTTGAAAGTTTTAGCTTTTAGCTATTTCTGCCACTTGAATTATTATCTGTAGTTTTACATAAGACTACAGCGCTCATTGATAATAATCACTCTCCGTTTGCTTTAACATAACTGCTGTTTTGTCCTCAAGTATGTAAAATCGAGGCTATCGTCATAGTTATTACTACTAGTATAAGATTGGTCATTCATTACGAAACATGACTAATAGAAATTTGCTTCGGTGACTTTGAAATTTCTCTAACAATTTCTATGCATATTAACGTTGACTTAAGATTTCGTTTATTCAGTCACGAACTTGAATCCGAAAATAAGCTTTCTTTGAAACATAATTGTATAGAAATATCGCGTCGTAAAAAGCTTTTAGCA